TTGCTGTGTCATTTTGATCTGTTCTAAATATTTGAATGGCACTGAGTGCACACTGTAGTCTGATTGCAGCTCAAATAAAGCAGCCACAGTTTCACTTTGAGACATGCTTTTGGCTATTGTTTCCTTTCTTAGAAAAGCAAAATCTATGCTTTAATAGTATGAGGCTTTTGATAAAGCCATCTTAAACAAATGTATCCATACAAATAAGGTATTTCCAAAGAAGTTTAGGAGGAGAGATGGTATTGGTATTGGTATCGGTATCGGCAGATACTCAAAGTTGAAGTATCGGTATCGGAAATCAAAAAGAGGTATCGGTCCATTCCTAGTTTGAACCCTTACAGAAGCAAAAAATAAATAAAAATAAGTGCTTAGTAAGTACTTAAAATGTTTATTTAAATGAACTCAAAGTCATGAAAATTATCCAAAAAAATTTTTTGAAAAGGAAAGATTCAAGAAAAGTAATATATACAGCTAAATCTCTATAATGAATACTAGAGGCCTAGCCTTAATATTTACTTCAGTTTCTATTTATATTTTGTACACGTTTGTATGGTTTTATCATAACATTTAAATTACTCAGGTAAATTCACATTATAAATAACACTGTGGTGTCTTAATGTTACTATTTAAACTTGTTAGGTAAGCACCGTGTCAGTCTGATTTCTCTATTCTAAAGCACTTTGGCTCAACGAATGTTGTTTTAAATGTGATGTACAAATGACATTACTTCACTTGACTATGTAATTTAAAGATTTCCCTAAAGGATTGTGCCTCTTATATAAAAGAGAGCTAAAAATATTTACATAAGTAAAAAAGTACCATCACAACAGGGTAAAAATACAACTTAGAAGTAAAATTCCTGCAAGTATTAGCAGCTAATGTACTTAAAATATGCAGAAAATGACCCCAATGTCTGGTAAATTATCATCACTATAATATCAGTCAGTTATTATTAATGCATTGTGTATAAACAGCAAGTGGCTTCCATTCTATGGTCTGGCCCCTCAAAAGGGTCACAAGATGAATATGAGGGGTCTTGAGATGACTGACGGGAGAAGAAATAAAAATAGCTTTTGAGGTGATGTTGTGCTGACTGATTTAAAATTAAAGTTTAAACGTAAGCGACTTTGTCAGAGATTTTTTCATCAGTCCTGCACCAGCATCGCTCACAATCACAGGTAATATGTAAGTTAACAGTGGAAACATGTTGGAGCACAATGCAGAACAAAGTGACAGCAATAACATGGAGGAAACGCAGGAAAATTCAGAGGATTTGATATTTGCATCTGCAATTAAAAGTCTTAGTTTGCTGTGTAATCAACCCAGTGCCATAATTAACCTAATTATAAAATACACTCATTCAGACGCTCATCACTCAAACATACTGACGGAACTACAATGACTGAACAAGAACAGTGCAAAAACATATTTCATACAGAAAGAGAGCAACACAAAAAATAACTATTTATGGTTCAGATCTGATCATACACACTGAGGTAGGCAATGTTGAATATACAAAGTGCAGTGCAACAAATGTGTGTGCAGAAGAAACAGTGCTGAAAACAGTATGTGCAATGTTTATGGTGCAAAAGTTTGCAAAAATGTAAATGAGAAGCTTTTGCCCCAGTGCATGCTGGGATAGTTCCCAACTCACGTGCCTTATGTTAGTGCAGCCACATGCTCCAAGTTTCAGCTCTTTATTCATTTCTGTTTTTACATAAACTTCAAGGTAACTTCATGAAGGAGCAACAAGTTTGCCCTCAGACTGCTTTAACGCAATTAAATTAGCTAGTTGAGCATTCACAGAATTATTTTCGCCTCATATCAGCATGTTAGCCTGAGTTAGTGAAGCCACGCATGAAGAAGAGGCAGATTATCAGCGCTGCTCAAGACTCAGGTACTGTTTCCATCTGCACAGATGATACTATTGTGGCATATTATCACATCAATGTGCATCTGTTGCATTAACTTTAACAACATGGCTGCAGTATTTTTCTTGTAAATCGAATACAATAGTCACTAAACATAAAAGTAGGAATGCAAGTAATGACTGCTTTCATTATTTCCTCAATTCAACCTTCAAAATGTCAGAACATATTCCTGTAATCCAAGTGATGCCTTCAAATCTCTGGTTCTACAAAAGTATGTTAACAGAAGTGTGAAATTTGTTTTCACTTGAATTCGGGATCAAAACACATCAGCGAGACAAAAGTAGAGCCTGATTTTAGCTTTTATTTCATGTTCAAAGAGCCATTTTAATCTTGTGTCCTGACTGCCAGGTGTAACTCGTTGCCCAGGTGTTTCTTTTGGCGCGGATGGTTCACACATAAAAGGACAGGGGGTGTCCAGGCTTCACTTCAGTCCATCTTTTCATGTGTCCAGACCAGATTTGGAGCCAGAAAGCAACACGAAGACCAGAGAACTGACAGAAAAAAGAGCTCATCTGTAAGAAGAGAAAACAACAATAACCAATAATAAAAAATAAAAAAAAAGGCTTTGAGCTCCAGCACAGGAAAGTGACATAACAAGAACAGCAGAGTGGAAAGTTTTGAAGATAAAAGAAACCCCTGATGGAGCTGAAAAGAAACACAGGGCAGGTTGAAAACAAGTTGATGACAGGAAAACCCTTCGAGCTGTGAGCAAGAGCTCAAAAATGAAGACTCACAGAAGACTTGGACAGCAGAGTTACTGAGGTTGTCGTGGGAGATGGGAACCTCTTGTGTGAACAGATGAGACTGAATGAGGAAAAGCATGAAGTGTCTCTGATTCAGACTAATCCAGTGAAACAAAGAGGAGGAAACATTGGGCTCCTGGACCACATCTGGTTTGGCTCTTTATGCACAAATTACTTCCTTCAGACTTTAGATTTGCAACCAGAAAACAACCCCAAATACACTTTTGGAAGAACCACAGAAAAAGGCCTGAATGATACAGAGAAATTATCTAACTGTAATATGGCAATTTCATTTGCAATATAATTCTTAAAGTACAATTTGTGTTAAATATTTATTATTTCCACTATTACTACATGAAATACTATCAAAAAAGCAACTGTTGCACAAAAAGGACAACATGAATTTTTCAAACCACAGACATAACAGTTGAAACTTTGGGCCAGTTGCACTCCATAAAGTACATGAAAAAAATATATTGCAGCTATTTCAATTTGCCACTTGCATTGTTTAGGATTTCAGTTTCAGCTGCATTCATCTGCTGAAAAGTACTGAAAACAGAGAAGGCAGCTGCTTCTTAAGGCCTGAAAGACACAAAACATTCAGCTGTGTTTGTGGGTTCTAGACTAGATTCAGTCACTGTATAAAATGAACCTAATAATAGACTCACTTTTTTTTTCGTTGACATTTGTATGTTTGCATGTTTAAAAAAGAGGACTCAACACTAAAGTGTCTCTTTGTATGAAATGCTAAAATGTGTGTTCATATAAATACTGTGAAACATAAGCTTCAGCCAGTCTCTACTTTAGTCCCATTGTCTCGTTTTGAGCTTAAATTCAAATGCGTGAAGAAGCACAACTATTGAATTTTATCTCCTGCTAGCATACTTTGCGAAGAGATGTAAAAAAAAAAGAGAGAGAAAATACTAGCAAATGATTAGCTGTAAAAGGAGGACATTTTGCAGTAAAAGCAATTAATTGATTAATGATTAAAGCTCTAAAGAAAACAAACAAAATGCATGTATATTTGATATTAGTGCTTTTATTTCACTCAAATGAAAAATACAATTATTATTTACATACTTTTACATCAGTTAGCATCATACACCACAGCAACCTCTAATTGGTTTTATTCAATTTTTTAAAAATGTTTTTCAACTAATATAACATCAGAAGGCCCACTTTTGTGGGCCTCTTTCTTATTAAACACTTAAATCACTTGAAATTAGTTTTGTAATTCTAGTTTATCGTTTAGTGTGTCTAGTTTCTTATATCACATTTAAGAGGACATTATGGAAGTTGTTCAGTATTTTTCTTGACATACTTGAAGCCGGCTGTTTCTGAAGACATAAATCCTAAACAAATGTGTAAATTAATTTTTAAAAGCAGTAAAACATTTTCCTAAAACAGCTGAACACTGCAATTTTTGGCAAATGTGACTCAAACAGGAATAAACACTGAAATTGATTAATCCACATTAGGTGCTAATTAAAGAGCTCTGAGGTAAAAAGTAACAAAATATAGTAGGACAAAAATGTTCAAAAAAGGATCAATAAATTGTCAGTTTTGCTCTCAGGAAGTAAAATACTGAATATAAACAACTATTTTCTTTAATGTGGTTCCTTCACTTTGAATTGGTAAAATGAAAAAAAAAAAGTCAATTTTAGCTAGCTAGCATCAGTTAGCTAGTTACACATGATACATGACAAACGTAGGCCTGCTTCTGTTTGCAGTTGTGTTAAAACAGCACTTTACATTCATCAAACGTCTTTTATATGTGAAGTCGCTCTTGTTGAAATAAACGAAATGTCATTGAATTTGACAATACCGGAAAGACCCAAAGAAACAACACAAAAGTAAAACCAGCAGCAGTGTAAACAAGCGACACCAGCCCGTTTTAACATTACAAATACAGTACATAATACAGTACATCACAAAATCACAAAATAAATCAAGATTAAAAACACATTATTCAGTATTTTTTCACATACTGTGCCTATATGTACACTGATTTATTATGGAGGTCAGTGTGCAGAAAGCCTGTCAAAATACAGTAAATTCTAAAAACACAGTACAATGCTGAAACACAAAAAACATCAAAAAATAAAGTGTCTTTTCAAGTTAATTTGATGTTTGACAATGACAAGACGATGTGATCGAAGTGGTTCTGTTGGTTAAAGTCGGATTTAGCTTCACAATAAAGGTGCGATTATGTTGCTAGCATTATTTATTAAGTCAAACTGGCCTCAGACAAAAACACAAACCATCATAATTCAGTATCAGACTTGTGAGGTACCTGCAAAGATCTGAAAACCATAAAGGCTCGCTCACACCGACTGTTAACTAGTTGACTAATCTAACTGCTTTCTGTGAGATTACATAACCTGTGTCAAAACTGAGTTAAAAAAATAATAATGCAAAATGTCTACAAAGAGTGAAATGTAGTAAGATGAGAACTGAGAAAATGTATTTTATCTTTGTCTATCGTTTCTCAAATCAGCATTTTTAACATTAGCAATCAAAGTAAAAATCCAAACTAAAACTAGCATTAAATGCTAGTCAGCTGCTTGCATTTGGTGACTTTGTGTCAACAAAGTTAACTACTTGCAAGTTTTAAAAAAAATACTGGAAAATATGTTTTAATTTTTATGAAAGCAGAGTTTAGACGCATTAGAGGCTACGTCATATATTATCATCTGTTCAACATGGTTTTATGGGAGCTAATAAACGTTAGCTTCTCCAACACCTAGCATCATCTGCACTAGTTATAATAAAAATAATAATAATTATATCAATACAATAATAACAATATCATCTGCGCTACACATATTGTCAATATGGTTGTATTTATCAAGAAAGAAATATGATTCTATTTAGTATTTGAATAGCACAGGAAACAGTATTTCTTTCACATATAACAGACAACAATATTCAGCTATTTTATTACAGTTAGACCCTTTGTGCGCTAATTAGCAAACTACTAGCTGGCCAGCTAACTTGCTAGCATTACTTATATCAGCTTTCAAAGCTTCAAATTATTTAACTGAATAAGAGTTATTTAAGAGAGGAAAGTAATTTGTGTTAGTTTGCTAAATGTCAGTTACAGGTTGCATATTATTATGTATTTGTACTATTATTATCTCTGCTGTCTCGTAGCCATCTAAATCATTTTGATCGTGTGTGAGTTTATGCTCAAACACACGACAGGTAAAAATTAAAGGTGTGTAAACTACGATAGTGTCTTCCATTTTGGACTTTTTTAAACAAATGCACTGATTAAAGTGGCATCATAGTGAAACTTGAACATCTTATTAAAATGTTGGTGTGAGCAGGTCTTTAAGGTGCAGAAGCTCGACACTACTCAGGAGAATTGTGCAGTTTATTTGTTAAACTCGACACACAAGCGATGAGCTGACCTTTGTAGGTAGGAGTGTCTTTGCTTTATGTGAAATGTGTTTCTTCTTCTACTGACTCCACTACCCGGCGAACACTTGGGGTGTGAGTGGCGGCGGCAGGTTCTCGTTGTCCATGTTGTTGGCATCAATGGCAGAAACGGTGCAGGGCACGATCTCCAGAGGATACTTCTCCAGGATGTTGTGCACCTCCCGCTGCACAGTCTCGGGCCAGGAGAGCAGGTCGGCCTGGAGGCTCTGAGCTGCCTCCATCAGCGTCTCCTGCCGGTCGCTGAGGCCCGACAGCAGCTCCAGGTTGTGGTTGAGCTGAGCCAAGACGGGGTTGGTGGCGGTCGCCGGTCCTGAACCGGAGCTGGGCCAGTCGCCCTCAGAGCTGCTGTAACGAGGGGAAGCCTGGCCTGACATGTAGCGCTCAAACTCCTCCGTGGAAAGATTGAGAGACTGAGCGTCCAGCTTCTCGATGAAGGCCACCGCACAGCACTGAAAACCAAAAACACACCAGCTGAAAGTCACGTCTGGGAATCTGACTGCAGGTTTCCATCAGACTGAGTCACACAGAGCCAGATGGCTTCGCTGTTAAAGGAATATTTTGGAAAATAGTTATGAATTGGCAATGTGCTTCACGTTAATATCTCAGCAGACCTATGCAGAGACGTTATGTGGACCTGAAGTAAGCTCACTGTTGAATTCAGCTCCTGTCTGGACGATGGTGCAAACAAACATAAACAAACTGTATTTGGACACAAAAAAAAAACGCCACATCAATGTATCTGAGCATGCTCACCTACACACACTCTGGAGATACACAACGCCACCCTCACATGAGACCATCTTCTATCTATCCTTTAAAATAAGTCTACAGCTTAGTTTTTAGCTTAGCATAACGACTGAAAACGGAGAAACACCTGTGTCTGAAGGTAACATACTTCCACATACCAGCACCTCCATAGCTCACAAATGATGTTCACATTTTGCTTGTTTCTTTAAAATTTTCACAAAAACTGAAGTGCAAACAACACAGCAATTCACTTCTTTAGACTCAGGTTTTATGCCCTCATTTTAAAGCTCCTGAAAACTTTGCTTCAAATCTTAAAAAACTACTTTTACATGGCACATAATATTCATGACTCAACAACCAGCATTAGGCAAGGCAAGGCATTACTTTTAGTTGCTATTTATTTAGCATTTAACACTCAAAAACATTGCTACTTTGACTCTATTTTACTTTCACTGACAGTTAATCTACCAGTTATTCCAAATTGTACTATTTAGTTCAACAATTTGGGCATAAAATGTGGGAAAAAACAACACAAAAATTGCTTTCTAAACTTTTCCAAAGCCCAAAATGATTTATTCAGACTGCTTGTTCTATTCTCCAAACATTTCAAAATGCAAAAATCTAATCAGATACGATGAATGAAAGCAGGACACTTGATTTGCTTTCAACTTTAGAGGCTTTAAACAGCAAATGTTTGCATTTTTTTGTCTTGTTTATTGATTCATATGATAAATCAACGCCATCAGTCTGATACAAATGTCGTTTCGTCACCCTTTTTTTAAGTGAAACCCACAAATCTTTTATATGAAACAACCTGAGACCAACTATTTAAACGAACCGTTGATCCCCATTAGACAGATTTCCGTCGGCAGCTGCAGGTAAATATTTGTGTTTCTGGAGGTTAATACTTGTGAGTCTACAGATAAGAAAAGTTCAACTACAGTTGGAAGATCCTCACAGTTCATTAAACACGAGGCCCCCGGCTCAAACTGGCTTTAACGAGAACCGAAGTGGAAGAAGAGGAAGAACTGACCAGGTTGGTGAAGTAGTACCCATCCTCGCCGGTCATCAGCCTGCTCGGGTTACAGAATCGGGTGATGTACTGGATGTTGGACTGAATCCGCGGCGGGTTCGCCTTGAGCACGATGTAAATGAGCGCGGGGAGGAAGTCGTCAGCGGAGGCCGGCTCATTCTTGGTGATCCTAATCGCGCTGAAGATGTGTTTACTGCAGCGTGTGATGCAGGCGAGTTTGTCCCGAGGAACCCTCTTGGAGTCCATCTCAATGACATCTGCAACAAAAACACAAAAGGGCAAAGTCAGAGGCTGCACAGATCGATGTAAAATGTACTGAATGCATCGTTAAACATGCCCATCTGAATGAAACAATTAATGTCAAATAATTTATGTTTTTTTTACCCAAAGTGTCACATTCACTGGTTTTCTTTGGTGTTAGACTGTTAAACAGGGAATTTAGGTGATGGGAATTATTCACTGTGTGATGACGTTAATCGATTACACAACAAAATAACAAGCAGATGAATTAGTAATGAAAATGGTGAATGCTGATACTTTGTGGTTTTGTTCTCGCTGAGATGTCTGCCTGCAGCCCAACAGCAGAGCCGCTGTGCAGCCTTTTGTTCTGCTCTGAAATCGAAATATATTCGTTGAGACGATTTCCAAATGATTCAGACTGCCTGGCACTTACAGAACATTTTCTATTCACAGTAGAGCTTCTGTCTTCACCACCTGCAATGCCAGAAGTTGCACAGTGCTGCCAGTTTAGCTGCAAGTTTAGCGAATTTCTAGACGAGGGAAGTTTTGAGGTTCAGTCGTGAATGATGTAATGTGTTTATTTTTAGTGTTTTTAAGGGAAAAATATGTGAAAGGTTCCCGATTTGGTAACATTAGTCAAGTCTAACTGAATCAAAGTGGCAAGCGCAGGTACGTTTACATGCTATTACATGCTACTATTGCAAGACAAAGTGTTTCTGCAGTGTTTTATCAAATTAAATTACAAATCCAAAATCTTAATACCTCATAGATTGCAGTTCAATACCTTTTTCACAGTTAAGCAGATGACATAAAAGTAAGTTTAGCTGATTTCTACATTTCTAATAATCTTTTTATACTTTGCTTAGAAGCATTTTTTATTTATCTACTTATTAATTTATTTACCTACATACCTCTGAAAAAAAAGATATTCTATTATTTTCTATTCTGTTTTATTCTCAACTGAAGTTTTTAGGTTTAGTCAAAAATAATGTCATCATTTTTTGGTGTTTTTAAAAATCTGAAATGTTCCTTTATGATGTCATGAATATCTTGTGTCTGTAGAGCTCAAGGATAAGGAACACAGCAACGTCTAACTGCTAGCAACACCCAGATGTAAGACAAATGGTTACGGCAATGTTCATTAAATACATTTAGGACTAAAGGCCTTTTTAATACCTCATAGACTGCAATCCAATACCTTTTTAAGAGTTATATGAGACATAAAATATATACTGCCTAAAAATAATTATTAATTATAATGTTTTTTTCCAGGACTACAAGCTGTATATAGTCCAAGTAATGTAACTGATCAAACAATGTGACCTGGACCCATGTATGGATTATTGATCAGGCCTATAAAGCTCTGGATAAAGTGATAGTTAATAGTTCCTGTTCGAAAGTCACAAAAAAAACTGCTAAAACAAGATTAACTTCTTCAAAACATTACAATTTGCTCTTTTGGTTTTAGATTTTTTTTCTCAAAAAAGAACATGGATTTACTGAAATTCAAAGATATATAAGCAGGTAGACATTAATCAGACATTACGCCTGCAATAGCAATTTTTTTAGGGGGCTTAGTGCCAAACAGCAGCCTTGCAAATTCCAATATTTGCCCTCTTCTAGCTCTGCTCTCTATCAACAGTGAGCCAAAACTTGCTATAAAATCATGTGAAAGCAAAGGAAGCAGCAGATTTTCTGTAGGTTCGCAGCTACAAGGGAAGAAGCTCTCACACTCATCACTGGACGCACTGTGTTAAAATATTGATTACAGCTGCTTTAATTAAACCAATCCCACTGTAACACTGTCTGACCTGTTATTGCTTTGACCACGTTCTCAGAGACTTCAGGGATTTCTTCATCCATGGACACGCAGAGCATCTGGATGGTCACCCAGTGAAGAGCTCTGCAACACAAACACAATGGTTGGAGTAAGTCTGAACCTTTTTTTTTTTCTTTGCATATGATGCGAACGTACACATTTGTTACAGTCTCTTCCCTGCTGGGTGACAATTCATGTGCACTCAGCAGCCGCCACTGTGTTTTCACATGTAAGAGAAACACAAAGCTGAAAATGGTCAGAGGGAAGTCGTCACAGCCGGCTGAAGATTGAAGACGAGCATTGTGCAGCGAGGCTTTCTGAGGGATCTATACTCACAATGCACACACATATTCTACACAAAGACACCCACGCTTCCACTAAACTCTCCAGTGATAATATAAATCCTTATTACGACATCATCAGCCTGCTGTGAATCTAGGGAAGCCCACCTTATCCTGTTCTGTGTGGCCAAGTCCTTCTTCTCATCATCAGTGGTTTCTGGGCAGAAAACGCTCTTATACAGACGAGTCATGATGTACTTTTCCACTTGGTCCATCACCTGCTCCACACTCTCCGAAGAGCCTGGTGATGAGAGATTCATCAGAGCACGTAAACAACTGCTTGTGCTGCCATCTGGTGGTTCCTGCATTCTGCCTCAATGTCAGATTTACCTCTTCATGATTTTCAGAAACAGTTATGAAATCCTCTAAACTGACCTTTAAAGTGGCTCATCAAGCGGTCGGCCATGTTCTGGTAGAAATCCTGAACGCACTCCGACAGCTCTTCAGCACTCAGCTCCTGTCAGAACAAGAAGTCAGGCAGTGTATATTGATTACTATATTGATCACATGGGTGTAGCATGAAGTGAGATGAATGGTTTAATGAGGTATGTTGAGCCTAAAGTCAGTTTTCACTGTCACAAAGGTGGCTCACTTTCACCATGGCAACTGGTGCTGCACAGTCTGATCAGAGTTTTTGATATAAATTCGGCTGCATGAAGCTTCTCTCTCCAGCGATATTCTATGTGCAATAGATTCCCAGCTAGAACACATCAGCTATATCTGCAAACCTGTTGATCTGTATCTGCCACTGAGTGAAGCTGTGTAGTTTTAGTAGGAAAATTGTATGCATCACGTTGCCAAGGGAACCTACATGCAATAAGCTTTACCACAGAAAATGCAAAAATTTGCGTGTAACTTGCTTGGTCCTTATTTTAGTCCATTTTACACTGCTGATAATGCTGCTGATAGAACACCTGTTAGAAAATGTAATAGTCAATGGGTATTATAGAGAATATTCAATCAGGAAGATGAATTTCACTTTAATTTGTCCAAAAACTAAAGTGATGTATGTATATCCCTTCATTATGCAACAGTGTCAGACTTGTGAAGGTTTCAAAGCTGCTTAGTGAAGCTGTCATGTTAGAAATAAGCAGCTGCCGATGAGTGGTAAAATAAATAGGAGGGTGTGTCACAAAAGTTCCAGGACTGGTGTCACAAAAGATATATCTCAAATCCAAACTACAAACAAGAAGTGTTCCCCTTCCAAGTAATCCCCCTGGAGTCTAACACAGTTTCCCAGCCTTCTCTGCCACGCTGCCAAGCGCCATGGTGAGTACGGAGGTTGCTCCAGCACAGCGATGTTCTTCTCAGCCAGGAACTGTCGGATGCTCAGGGCATTGTGAGCAGGCACGTTGTCATGGTGAAACAGCTATGACTTGTCCTGCCACAACTCTCGCCTCTTCTGGTGCACTGAACAAAGAAAACGCTGCAGGATCTCTTTGTGCTGGTTGATGGTCTGAAGGGGAAAACTCATAGTTTGTACTTTGGGTTTGAAATATATCTTTTGTGACACCAGTCCTGGAACTTTTCTGACACACCTCATATATTAACTTACATGATTACCATTTCTTCTATTTATCTTGCCATGTTTGCAGCAACACGGCTTTTTGCCATAATATATTTATATTTATATTCTTCATAGCTCTTCATTACAACAACCTGTTCCTCCTGACCAAAATAGGCGTTGCGATCCGTCTGTTTTGTGCAGAAGAAGAGTCAAATGATGCTTTAAATGCCTTTGAGTCCAATGTAGGAAACCTGGTAAACAAATTGTAAGAGCTTCAGTACAAGGTTTTAGGTTTTGTAGAGCGAGGCATTGTTCTAAAGATTGAAATGCATGAATGTTCCAACATAACAAGTGAAGTTGCTTTTTAAGATGATAGTGACTGTTGTGTTAGCCGTGATCTCTGACGGGATTTTAGGTTTTGTGAAGCAAGCTAACACAAAGAAAGCCTGTGAACCTGCTCTGTAGAACCGCCCTCAGATCAGAAACACTCAAACACGAGTCTGTCTTTATTATTTTGCAGCTAAATGTCAAATCAGTTCTCGACTCCTGACTACAACACACCTTCTTGCCTGACATGGTCACAATGAAGGCTCTGCATTGCTTGTGGATGTCCCGGCCGGGCTTCTGCAGGTTTTTCAAGAAGTCCACAAAGTCTTTGGAAACTTGGTCTGACTCGAAGCTGGCGTGGCGGCTGATGGACGGGCTGGGCGTCCTGCCCTCCTGGGCTTCTGGGGGAGGAATGAAGACATTTGGAAAAACGTTATACTGCTGGCTTCCCTCCTTTTCCACAGGCCGTGTGTGCATTTAGCTACTTCCACGTAATTCCCCACAGAGCCGTCAGATATTTTTAGATTAATAAACAGATCAGGCCTCAATGGGTTGTTTATATTCCTAGCAACCCGACACTGAGCAGATACAAGGCAGAAGAAGCCATATTTTAAAATCATGCTGCTTGTAACCTTTATAGAGTGTAAACAAACACTCAGAGTTACATCAATGTCAGACTTTTTTTTAAATTCATGAGTATTTCTCTGTGTGGATGAATACGTCTCATGTTACACTGACTTATTTTGCACAAACCAGCTGCAAACCAACTTCTCATAGTGCAACTTAGTCAGCATAGTATACTGAAAGTGTGCACAGTGGGGTGCACAGATGTGGCATCCGCAGCATTTTTTTTTTTTCGCTTGTTTTTCTTTCCAGCTGAAACCATTCGGATCTTAGACAAACTTTTGGAGCGTCTGCAGCTTCTGTTGTTGTTGTGTTGAATGTCAGTGTTTTCCATTGTGTCAGTGTGAGCTCTTCTGATTCCTAGGTTGGAAATACATCCCCAGAAACTATCTGTGCGTTTGTGGGAGCAGCATCGAGGCAGCTGAGGCAACTGTAAGACGTTTCCTCATCAGTACTAATGTCTCTTGGAGCTGCGAATCGGACGTATTTTGACTTCTGATGGATGCTTTGTCATTGTCATGCTCCACTTCTGCTCTTACGTCATCTGATTCATGAATCGTCATCAGCAGAGGCCTCGAGTAGATGTCAATTTAGAGCGCTGTTGTCATCAAACCCCTCCAACGTCAAAGAAAATACTGCTCTGAAGCAAACGTGTAACCCTTCTGTAGCTGCTGCAGATTTCTATTATACAAACACTAACACCTAATCCAAGCCTTGAATAAAGTCAGGCTCAACACACAAAGTGAACTGAGTGGCGTGTTGTGTTATTTGCGATACCTTTCTTGGAAGCAGTGCGTGATGAAGGGCTGAAGAACTTCTTAACGGTGGTCACTTTCCTCGTCTTCTCGTTGGTCTTCTTCTCTTCAAACTTGGAGAATGGGCCCAGGGAGGCGTGTCCTGGCTGCTGTTGAGGTGTCGAGGCCTGAGAGTGGGACTGGGTCTGCACTCCGTGACTGCTGGCATACGCTGCCTCCTCCTCTCGCTGTAGTCTGGAGACGAGGAAAGGTGATACAGTGTTCCAGCAATGAGTGGGAAATTATACTGAGCAAAAAGCTGTTCATTCGTGTACAGAGAAAAGCCTGCAATGAGCATCCACATGTCAAAAATCTGCAATCATGTACATGAACATGTTTCCAAGTGCTGACATGTGTGACTAATACTAGGGGCAAAACCCAGGGGCTCTACATAATAGAAATATTTAACTATTTATATTTTTAAGTAGTTTCCATGCTTGTCTTCAAGCGCAATTCAGCCCAGTTCAATCAAAAACTCCCTGACTTTTTTGTCACGATTGTTAGTTGCAGCTGAGTCACTAACAGCGTCTCAGTTGTACTAAGGTCTGCCGAATTTTTTGTTTTTTACAGAATCTGGTTTGAGATGATGATTTTGTTTGGCATGAAGAACAAAATTATGTGACTGAAGTATTCATGTTGGAAAGTTGAAAATCTGACAGTTCTTCCTGTTTTCGTTTCTGGCACTCATAAACAGTGTAATGTTTTTTTTAACTAATAGCATGCTTTTCAAACCCACCAGTGAGTTTCTGGGTTCAGAGGATTAAACTATTGTGCTCCACAGTATAAAAAGGACTAGAACAAAAAATAAAAAGAGCTCACACATTATGAATGATGCTGTTTACCACATTCAAAGCTGAAGTTTCTTTTTTTAGTATGTAGATTGATAATTTTGATATTCACAAAAGTTAATCAAATATAAGACGTGAAGAGTTTTGTATTAATTGGTCTTCTTCTAGAGTAGTTTGAGGAAGTCGGAGCAGCTGTATTTTCTTTTTTGCAGGTTTGTACACGTCTTACTTTTCTGCCAAGGCCCAGTCGTCCTGGATCTGCTTCTGCCGTACCCGCTGGTATTCCTCCCTCCAGCACTTGGAGCACAGACCCTGCCATGCTGCATTGCCATAGTAACCGCATCCCTTTTTGCAAAGCAGATCCGATTGGTCCACATGTATCCCCCGCCGCTCCGTCCGCTGACTCATGGTGCCGGACGACCTGGAATGAAAAATTCATCGTCAGATTTATTGGTGTGTTTGTATGCACTGCTGTTCGGACGAATCTCTCTGCTGCTGCCTGTTTGTAATATTCAGATTATTACACAGTTTAAATGCACTACGTAGTTTGAAAACAGCCTTTTGACAACATTTCAGTCAGATAACAAGACCCTGAAATTAAAACTCAACCGATAAAAGAAACACTCAAACTATAAATTATTGCAGCTCCATAGAATTCAGAGACAGACCATAACAAGAGACTTCACAGGCTGAGATATCATCAGTATCAGTCAAATTCTCATTACATTTGTACTCATAATGCAACTTCATTCTGTCTTTTCCGCTTCATCCCAGTTTCCTCAACTGCTTCCAAGTTTTCCTTCACTGGTCTTTTCCTTGTGTCTTAGTCCGTCCAGAATTGAGGACAGATGCAAGGAAAAGACGCAACATCATCTAAAGCAATGTCTGATTCTAAAGATGAAGTCACAGTAGTATCAGCCGGTAGTCAGATTTTAGCTTTAGTAGAATAATAATTTACAGTGCAATAAAACTTAATAACAAACCATAAAATCTTAAAATTAACCCCAAAACGTACAGAAACCTAGTACTGGTGTTGCGTGATAATTCTTGATTTCAGACCAGATGGATCCGATTTCATCAGATTTCTAAAGTAGTGACTCTTGCACCCTCATTCCTCAGACCAGAAATAAATGGAAAAATTTCCATGTTAAATGAGAAACAGTCAGTTAAGAAAAGTTCCATGAACCTTATTTTCTAATGCAGATTCTCAATTGTAAACTTGCAGTCCCTGAAGGTTGGGAAAAAACCGTGACGGCAGTACGATAGCATCTGAGCAGGTGTTTTCCTATCCTTGATGAAGCTCCACAGAACGTATTTTATTACATCCACACTTTGACGAGCTGTGGTTGAATCACTGGAGTGCCCCTTTGATTCTGACACAAGTCAAATAAACAAGGTGTTGTTCATACATTATCCTCTGTTGATATTTTAACCTGTATGAACTCATTTGTTGACCATACGAGGGCAACAGAAAGAAGCTGCAAATACACAGCAGCTCACACTTGACCTTTAAAATTGTTAGTAAAAAGTAGCTTATTAACTGTGTTAAAAAGCAGCGGATTGCTAATGAGATGATATGTTAATATTGCAGCTTAAGAGCCAGATATTTCCCTCAGGACTTGACAGAGAACAAAAACAGAGCAAAAAAAAAAAAAAAAAAGAGTAAATATAGGACTTACATTCAGTAGGTGGACTAAAAATGAATATTGTTGCTGAGTAACTGCATAAATAAGCAGCTGTTTGCAAATAACATTGTTATATCAACTTTAAAAAGCGGTGATATGTTCGTGTCATAACTACAGTTTAATACATTTTGATTAGGAGTTGGCAGAGACCAAAAACTGAGGTAAAAGAGAGTGAATATTGGACTTGCATTCACTAGATGGACACAAACACAACTCTAAATGAATAATGATGCTCTGTAACTGTATAAATATGCGACTCTTTGCTAATAGATTTGCCATATTAATCTTAAGTATTTATATGTTGTTAGTGTTGCCACTTAGGAGCCAGAATTGTTTCTCAAGAGTTGGTAGAGACCAAAAACAGAGTTCAAAGAGAGTGAATATTGGACTCATTCAGCAGGTGGACTCTATATGAATGACATTGTTCTAAAACTGTGTTAATAACTAGCTGTTTGCTAACAAATGTAACATAAACATTTTTTTTTTTTAAAAAGGTTAGTTTGGCTTTGCGGTTAAGGGGGCGGAATTTTTCATTCGGGGTTTGTTGGGGAAGGAAAAAAAACAAAAAGAGACTTTAATTTAGCAAATAGACACAAACTTGACTCTAAATGAATGATGATTATCTATAACTGTGTAAATATTGCCAATAAACTTTTACCATATTTATTTTGAAAATAATAACAGTAATATGTGTTGCAGCTAAAGAGTCAGAAATGGCCATTAGGAGTTGGTAGAATCCAAACACAGAGTTGAAAGAGACTGAATATTGGACTAACACTCAGTAGGTGGACATAAATATGACTTTAAATTAATTATGTGGCACAGCAACTTTGTAAATAAGCAACTGCTGGCTAAAAAATTCACCATAATGTAAGAGAAGGTGATGTGTTGGTGTTGCTTTCCACTGTCCTACATGTTGCCAAAGCAATGAATAAATGCAGGTTTAACGTAACATACCCTTAAATAATTCATTTACCACTTAGTAATTGCCCTATTATTCCCATATTATATGCCCCCAGAGCTGTCTGAGGCCCCACACAGTTGCTCACTTTGCCCAGACAGTGATCCAGCTGCAGTCTGATAATAACTGTCGCCTCGGTGTCGCCTCCTGAAGTCTCTCGGATCAAATCTATCAAAGTGCTACACATCTTTCTAACACAGAAAGATCATCATTTTGTGTTTCCGTGATAGTGGCAGAGATCACTGTAACGTCAAAATCTACCACAGGTGATCGATTTAGTTGAGATCTGGTGACTGTTTAGGCCATAGCATGTGATTCACATGATTTATGAATGTGCATTAAACCACCCAGTAAGCCTTCCTGCTATGCACTGAGGTATCTAACCATTAAACCACCTTTACTTATGTGCATCTACTTATTTACAAAGATGTTCGTGTAATTTGTCGCCAGTCTGGAGGTCATGTAGCTAAAAATGTAGCTATGTTTTATTAGCTGTCACAGGGATGTAAGCTAGCCAAAAAGAAAAGAAAACAAAACTAAGCTGCCCTTCTGATCACCTGTAGTATGTTGTAGTTTATGGACATGTGCTGCACCTCCTGCCAGCCTTTGTTACTCACCTATTGTGTTATGGGCGATCAGAAGCAGGAACAAACCTCCTCCTCCTCCGTGTTTCTGCCCGGTGTGATCACCTAAACGTTGAAGGTAGCCACAATGACGTCTCTCTACAAAAACACGGAAGTCCGGTGGCTGCAGTAATATCGGAGTTTAGAATATTTTTTTTCTAGTTTGCGATCCCAAAGCGAAGCCAGAATTGTTGTTCAGAGACAAGTTTCACACGTAAGGGGTTCTTTTGCAGAGGGATGTCGGTTAAAGATCTTAAATGTAGTCATTTCCGCATCGAGGACTAAATATAAAGGATGGGTTTACTTCGTCAGGACGGACAGGCGAAGGTCATGTGACTGACGGGAAATGCCGAACTGACACGAAGCCGTGCACTGGCGTCTACGAGCGCTCAAAGCTATATACAGAAACTATACTGTGTTTTAGAGATTCTATACAGAAACTATACTGTGTTTTAGAGATCCTATAAAGAAACTACACTGTACATAAATATTAGGAACATAAATTACACTGTATATGAAAACCATACACGGAAACTTCACTGTATAAGGACTATGGAAAGAAACCACAGTGTAAAAACTACATACAGACATAAGACGATATATAAAGTCGAGTAAATTTTGTACAATATCACACTCTTTGTTTTCTAATATAGGCTGTAACACGCATAGAAAAATGCTATAGCATATATTAAGCATGTAATGTAATAATTCAAATTGTTGTAAACTACTGAAAGTACAAAGTCAGTTATATATTATTATATTGTAGTCTATATTATGTAATACAGTTACATAAGTAATATAATTGCATAATGCAATGTAATCTAGCACTATTATTTTTTATAGCAGTACTAAAGTAATGATATGGTCATATAAATTTAGTAATAGTTAATACAGTTTTGCATGTAAACTCAAACTCTATTCATAGATTGTCACATTACTTCTGTTTACAGCTGCAGTTATTTAAGTTATAGCTCGAGTTCCCTGAACTATATGTTTTCTTGATGCATATGTGAAAACTTCACCAGAGAGACTAACAGTGGAGTGTACTGAGGAGCCACACAGTAAACCTGAGCTGACATGTTTATTGACATTGAGGTTGAAGTTCAGTTGTCGTGTATTGACATCAGTTTGATCATAAAAATTGTTGTGAATTCTATTTTACTAATTGCTTGCACTGACTCTAAAACTGGTGGTTATTACAAGCCTTCTGTAGCAGTGGCAGTTTCCTTTTTGACCTTTTCCATTGCAATACTGTCACAATTCTCAACTATTGATTTTTCATGCAACAGAGCTTCATGCCATTGAGACACACTTCAAATAAATGTTGCGCTTTCCACCTTTTGCAGAAGAGGTTAAAATTTACCACTGTGAGTTTTTCTTTCTAGTTCTGAAAAGTCAAATATCTACTTTCTATTGTTCTGTTTAAAAAAAATGGTTACATTTAGCCAAGTGTGCACAAAAAAACAACAACTTTTGAACTAAAGACTGAGGTGACTAATTAAGTTAATCAACAATATTTTTGTTTGATATATTATCATAATGCTCAAACAGTGAATGTAAAGTAATTTCAACTAAAATAACTATTCTAAATCTCTAATCCAGCTGAATCCACTCAGGTATTGGTCATATTAACACAGATCAGAAGCTATTGGTTGTAAAAGACAACCAGCCTGTTTCAGGAGAATTTTACTCACTCAGACTTGGGTACCAGATCATGTCTCTTTAGTTCCTCAGAAATGAGTGTAAATATAAAGGCCTCTACCACAGACCGCACGAATGATGTAAAACAGATCTGAAACTACCAACCAGAGACAGAAGTAAAACTTTTCAGCCTGATGCAACTTTCTTCTTTAAAGTTAAAAAAATTGGCTTGTAAACGCAAACAGTTTCATGCTACAACTGTTAAGCACCAGCCTCACCATGTGGAGACACAAGCACAAAAGATAAACAGTATTTGACTCAAGCTGCCAAATAATAGCAGTTGTGCTACAAAATTTGCACCAGCAGGGAAATAAGCACAATATTCTTGGGGTTTTGTGTTTAAAACTTCCTTCATTTGAGCAAATGGTTTGTGCGCTTTAGTGGACTGGGCATGTTGATAAGGTCCTTCTGCTGGGAGTAAATAAACACACACAGGGTTAGAAACACAGATAACACTCTGCACACACTGCTTAGACAGACAGATCCAGACATGATCCTGACGGGTCGCACTTTGTGCCTTCCTTCTCCAGCTACCGTCCAGGAGCTTTTCTCTGCAGCTCGAGATGCCAGCATCATCCCTGATATCTCTTTGGATCCTGTCCTCACCACCTTCCTGTCGCTTGACTCCTCTGCGGCACTGCAGCATCAGTACGTCTTCTTACAGCGGAGCATGAGCAGGGAGCAGCAGGCGGCGTTCAGCCTCAACCTGACTTCAGAGCTTGGGGGCAGCAGGGTCACCTATGGAGGAGTCGGGGTTGTTGCTCTGGCTCTGTCTATGCTTTTTGACCAGGTTGCCCAACAAGTAGGTGAAACTGTTGAGTTTTGTCTATTGTTTCTATAGGATTATTACATTCTGTCATCTGCAGGGTTCCATAAGCTAATTTCATACTGATCGCTTGTTTCTCTATAGCTATGAGTTTGTTCTTTCATATCATAAAGTATCCAAACATTCTGCCAACCCATCAGATCAGAGCACAAGACTCAACAGAGGGCCATCTACCAATTCGGACATCCCAGCCTAAAAGCATTTTTGGCATCAGCACTTCTTCCAGAATTGGCTGGATCATCCACAACTACCTCTGCCTTATCCCGGGCGTCGCCAACAGCCCGGAGAAGATGGCCGAGACTACGGAGCTCTACGACAACTGGCTGAAACTGGAACTGCTTGACCATTACGAGAGGATGACCACCAAGAAGAGAATGAGTTCAGAGTCCATGCAGCAGTGGCTGACTGGAGCGGCATTTCACCTGCACCTGAGAATCCACCAGGTCAGGACAGGAAGACGAAAAGCTTAAAGTCCAGATGAAGTTACAACACATGTTTACTTATCTAACATATCTCTGCAAAACTCAGTGGCAAAGAGAGAAAAGTGCATGTGGTAACTGTTGAACAATATTTCATCAAATATTTCATCACCAGTTTCTCTGTAAGAAAAATGACTGGGTGGTGCAATGTTTAAAGTCATATCAGAGTTATTTAAGAGTTTTACAAAATACACAAGGGTATTAAGACAAACATGGACACCTCACATCCTCACATCAATCTAAAACTATTCATCCATTATCTATACACCGCCCAATCCTCACCAGGGTCGCGGGGGGGCTGGAGTCTATCCCAGCCGACTTAGGGCGAAGGCAGGGGACACCCTGGACAGGTCGCCAGTCTATCACAGGGCTACACTTAGAGACAGACAACCAAGCACACTCACATTCACACCTACGGACAATTTAGAATCACCAATTAACCTCAACATGTTTTTGGACTGTGTGGGAGGAAGCCGGAGAACCCGGAGAGAACCCACGCTGCACGGGGAGAACATGCAAACCACGCAGAAAGATCCCGGGTGTCCTCATCGGGACGTGAACTGACGACCTTCTTGCTGCGAGGCGACAGTGCCAACCACTGAGTCACCTTGCAGCCCATAAAAATAATATATATGCTAAATTGTTAATGTACAGAATTTATATTCTATAATAACAAATACTCACAAGTAGTTAACACAGAAATCTTTTGAATCTCTGCAAACCATCTTATATATAAATGTGGGTCAGAATCAAGGAACAGATTGTTTTAATGGCAAATAAAATGTGGCTAAACTATGGTTAGGGTAAGGCAGCTAAAACACCTGATTAAAGAAGCTACAAGCAATATATTTAACTGTAGAGACAGGAAGTTGTCAGCTGTCATGTTTGCAATTTTACTATTTTGATTCACTTTCATTGTTGTTTTGTGCAACAGCAAGCATCTTGTTTTAGCAGAAAAAGCTCTAAAAACTGGCAGTGCACTTACTGCTCAGCGCCATACATATGCAGTTATTAATTAGATGGTGAATGCAGCTGATTATTTGGCAGCTAAAGAACCAAACACATGTCTGAAGGAGTTGGTGGAGACCAAAAATTGAGCTATAAGAGAGCAATGATTAGACTGATATTTGCATTTAAGTGGCTGTAAATATGACTCAAAATTTCTCCAGTTGTGTTGTAACTATTGGATACATAAATAAGCAACTGGACAGCTGGACACTGAACTGTGTGCATTAGTTCCTGTTCAACCTATAGACTTTTCTAGGCCCTGGGGATGTTTTACAAAGATGAAATCATCATGGATTAAATATTTATAAGAGGTCATGAATAGGTATAAAAGGTTTCAACAAGTTTTACAAGTGTCTCTTTTGTAATTGAGATCCATAGGGAAAAATTGCAGATTTGTTTTTGCAATACCACAGGTGACCACAAGGGAAAATCAGTTAGCAAGACTAAGCATGAGCACCACATCCAGATCTCTAAATATGTTGTTGGTTTTCTATATCAACCTAAAATGTGCTGATATATCAATGTTCTTCTGCCTTCAAGGTGGAGAAAAAAACCAGATATTGCAGGTTTGTGTTTAGGAAAAGATCGTGTTGTCCAAAACAAAGAAAATATTACTGACAGGCCTGTGAGCATCTGTGGTCTCTCCTCACCACTTTCACCTCTACGCCTCCACCTCTCATAAGGGACCTCCTGTACTGTTGGCACTGAACATAAATATTGGATGTATATGGAGAAAACTGATGTAATTGCAGAGTGTTTTGGTCTGATCTTGCTGCACTTTTCTTCTCTTTCCATCAGGTTCGTCTGCACTCTGTGCCGTCAGGATCGGCTGAGTCGCTGCGTTTGTCCTATAAGTCAGGGTTAGGTCGCCTTGTTCAGGGCTACACCGCTTATCTGCGCAAAAACATCCAGGAGACTGAAGCTCCAGGACCACAAAAACCCAGAACCAGAGCAACCAAAGGGCCAAGACAAACTAACACGTCTAGTATAACCAATATGACCTGCTCCATTATCTCTGTTGATAGGTTTAATGGCTCGGCTTCACCCAACTCTAGTGCTGGACTCAGTGGAAGCTGTAAAACCAATGGATCCAGTGAGAACTTTGGAATCAATGCGGTGAAAGGAAGCAATGACACCACGGGAGATATGATAAATAAAAATACAGTGAACACGTCTGGTGGATATAACAGGGAGGAAGAAGCCAGCATGTTCGGCCTGTTAGTCATTGAGCCTTGGAGGAACGTGAGTCACAACGTCCGGCATCACCCCTGTGAGTCTCCGGCCATCCAGCAAGCTTTGGTGACTCGAATTATAAATGCTCAAGACCTGGAGCGGAACAGAGACTTTTTTCTTTACCCTGAGGGAGTGTTTTACAGCCTGCTTAGACAGAACAATGACTTTGAACTGAAGAAAAATTAGACTGATGAACAATCCAAAGAAATAAACAAAGCACTGTGATATCTTTAAACAACTACCAACTTTTTACTTATTTTCTTTTTGAAATGAAATGAATGACAATGGCCACAGACATTATTCATTTCCTTCAGTGAGTTAAATGACAAGAATAACACCATTTTTCTATTTATGCATTGAACATCAAGCTGCAGCCACAAGCTATTTAGCTTAGCTTAGCATAAAGACTAGAAACAGAAGGAAACAACTGTCTTCTGGCTCTGACCAGAGGGAAGAATTTCACACAATATTCACTCGTTGACACTTTGCATCTCAACTGGGGACAATAAGTATGCTACCTAACAATAAATGTGCTACATAAAACAACATAATACCTAAAAATCTATGAGTGTGAGATAATAAGTTAAAGGCAGTCATCATTAGTGGTGACAGTGGGTTGTGGTATCCACTTATCCATCTATGTCGTGTCATTCATATCAAGTATATTAACTAACTAACTAAATAAATAAATAAATACATAAATAAACACACAAATAAAAAAATAAACACAAAAGAAAACAGATAGATAGATAGATAGATAGATAGATAGATAGATAGATAGATAGATAGATAGATAGATAGATAGATAGATAGATAGATATTCCCATGAAATAAATAAATATGAAACAAAAAAAGGCAATAAACACGGAAATGAAAGTCATAATTAAGTAACTTTTATTTCAAAACATCATTTGTTTATATAAGGGGATTTTTGTTTATTTAATATTAAATAAAACGGCATTCATAAAAAAAAAATATATATATATAAACAATTAAATTATCAACAGCGTGTTTCTGCCTGTAGAGGGCGCAGCCTCCGATCTGAAGTCTACCGCAAAACCAGCAGCAGAAGAAGTCCGCCTCCTCACGCATCTTTGCGGCGCTGCGTGCGTGAACGGCACCCTACTTCCGCACTCTAATATGAACAACACAAGCGAAGAGCACCGCAGAGCTTTTACACAATACTGATCTAAAGGTAAGTGTTTTGTGACTCCTAACTAAATGTCTTTTTATTTTTTAAACCTCATACACATCTCCTAGCGAGACGGTTACCTCGGCACTGGTTGTCTTTCGCGCGAAAGTAAAGTAGGAAGAAAGTGTCGAAACGAGGCTGAACATCTCTTAAAGTTAGACCACATTGTCGGAACAATATATATTTTTAATATAACGGTGCTGCGTTAACAGCACGACACTTTATTTCGGCTCCCCAGCGGACTAACTTTGCTCTGTCAGCGACTGCGCAGGTTAGCTTGTTAGGCTACGATGCTAACACTGTTATGACAAACCAAGGAGCGGCCACAGCCAACTTCCTCACAGGTTATCTTTCACCCAAAGTACTCCATGTTTTCCGCCTTTTGTTGAAACGCTAAACCAAGTCACAATTCTTTCCTGATATTAGCTCTGCATGCAGTAAGTGTTGCTGTAATTACCACTATTATGACACTTAAGTATGTTTGCTAGCTCCTCCTTTCGTCCTGTTTCCAGTTAAAGTCTGAGCAATGTCCCTGAAAAGAGATCTGACTCGTTTATTAAGTTTCGATTTAACCACACCCACATGCAGGTAAAGCACGGTTGCAGCAAATGAAACTGAAGCTTGCATGACTGAAGTGTAAAATCTGGCTGCTAAAATGTTTGAGTTTCTTAATTATGTCCCTGTATGTTATTAAAAAGGTGTCATACAGAAATAGGAAGTAAGGGTTTGATAGCATGGTTCTGGTCAGTGGTCTGGTCACTAAAGACGGAGCACCCAGCAGGGAATAATACAACACAGTGACATTACAGTGTACTAGTATATAATAAAAGGGCTGGGCATTAGAACGGATGCTTGCATCACAATACAAATAACCAAATTTAGTCAGTATAGTTCATTTTTGATTATTTTTATTTGCCCTTTATGGTAAGAATCAGTAGGACAAAGGTTTAATTTGAATTTAACCACTTAAGCCGTTTTGAATCCAGGTAATAATTTTACAGAATACACACAAATAAATATCTCCACACACCTAAATATAAATGGATAAAGATGAAGGAATCGTATCACCTTGAAACACGCTAAAAAAATAACACCAAAGGCAAAGGGGCTCGATTACCAGGGGATATGAGAGACTGTTTATGAGCCAGAGAGGAAGCACTCTTGTGCTTTGGTAATGCAACTGAGCTCTGTGTTTCTGTTGTGTGCGTTCATGGCGGTTGACATCTGGTGCACTTAAGTGAAGTGTCTATCACTGGTGCATATTGCTATTGTTTAATAATGCAGGCTTAGTAATGAATGTAGAATTTTACAAGCTCTTCGAGGACTGCATTTTTTCCCTTGCAATGTTTGACAGCTGTAAGGAAAAAAAAATGTGTACACCATGTGCAAAACTTACATTAACTTAGTGGCTTGTGGGTCACTTTAACCTAAATTAAAATGAGATTATTAATATAGAATAGAGTTTGATTGTTTTCTTTTTTAGACGATAATAAGTCATGAAGGAGACTGATACCCCTGTTCATAACAGAGTTCTGCTTCTGTTGTCGGTTATGGCAACATGTGGTGCTGTAAAATAATACAACAGCAGTAATGTAACTTTAACGGCAAGAAAACAGACGGTGTTTGCCGAAATATGTACAGAAGCTTCTGCAATTTGATTTTCATTCAGTGAAATGAGTTCAAATCAGCAGCAGCCTGCAAGGTAGACAAATTTGATCTATTTCTCTACAGCATTGTTTGTAAAATGTACTCAAGTAATTTATGCAAATACATTTTTTTTTACAGAGTCGGACAAAATGTCAGATTCTGACTCTGATTCTGACCAGAAGGGTTCTAAACGGAGAATAATGGTAAGTTATTAGCTGATGAATCCACACGTGATTATTCCGTTTTTACATGTCACTGATAAACGGTTTTCTATTTCTTTTGCCCACTCAGAAACACGATACGGTTGTCACCTTTCGACCTTCAGGTAAGAAGCATTTAAGTTATTTGTATTAGCATCTCAGGTACTATTATACATATATACAAGCGTTTGTGTAAAACCTTAATCAAATCTTTAGTGAATGACCATCATTTAATCATTGAGATATGAATCTCAGTGTGAAAAGAAAACTGTAATCTAAGTTTGAGGGACCTTGACTCATATTAGTGATGTTGAAACTTAGTTTGCATGTTGTACTGTTTCTTGACCCATGTGCATTTGCCACTGATCTGAAAGTGTAGAACAAAACTGCTAGTCACTCACTGCTTTAATGACTGAGGCCCCACTTTTACACTTCGATCACAATAAAAGCCTTCCGGCTGTGGCATTCACTGGTGAGACACTTTTAATGTGAAGAAGCAGCAGCAGAAAAAAATGTTGCGTTTGCATTTAAAGTGAAAGCAGCTCCAGTTTGTAAGTGAATCACATAGCAGTGAAGAAAACCGAGTGATGGAGAGACATTTTAAATGATAAATATTAATGTGTTAGTCAGACAAGTCTTACATAAGCAGTCAGGTTTTACAAGTGATGTTTTTGACAGAGGATTTTAACTTATTTTGCTCCTTTTAGTCTGATTTCACACCACATTCCAGCAATCAGGTTTAAAAATAAGTAGTTTCTGACAAGTCATGTAATTATTATGTAATTTGTGTAATCTTTTAAATACACCTTTCTAATTATGTTTCCTGCTTGTCTTTGTGTTTTTTTAGAGGCGATTTTTGCAAAATGGAGCAGCATCCCTTATGAAACCAAAAGGGACGCTGCACAGCGGATGAAAATTTGCGCTTTTTGGCTTCCCATTCTGTTGCAGCGGGAAGAGTCCAGCATGGCTTGCTGGGCTGTAGAAATAGGTCTCGTCAGCTCAAAGTAAGCACACTTTTTCATTACCAACGCTGAAAAACACCGTAAACCCTCAATGTTTGACCTGAGTTTGTAATATTGTCTCTGCAGGGACAGTGAGGATCTGACTCTGAGGCACCTGCGCAAGATTGAATCAGTGGAAGCAATTATCAGAGCTTTGGAGAGAGGAACTGTAAGTTGATCGATCAATAGTTCAGCAGCTCTAAAACTGCACAGTCATCATTTCTGTCTGTGCTATCACAGCTTGACCAGTACATAGTTACGCCCAGTTTTATTGTCCAGTTTTAGCTGGCGTCATCATTGAAATCTTAGATGTGGTGAACGTGTGAAAGAGGCAAAGCTAACGCTGTCACATACACATTTTTATAAAGAAATTGATTTGGCTGGAATTTTGAGGATGCCAGATCAATAAAGAATGCAAAAGACAGCAAAGTGAATGAGTAAGCTGATAAACAGATCAATTGTTGCTCTTCGGTAAACATTGCTATTTATGTTGCAGCAGTGGCTTTAGATTTCAGATTGTTTTAAATATATCACTTGAGCAAAGAGGTTCACGTTGTCGGTCCTACACCAATTATGTGTCTGGTATGATGATGCAGGAGAACGACCAGTGGATTAAAGAGAAGACCCGTTCTCAAGCTTGACTACAATATTTAACCTTTTTAGAGCTGCGTTGATTTTGATCTAAACTGTTTGTTCTCTGTTCCAGATGAGAAAGGACCAATCCAGACATGTTCTCATAATAAGCAACATGTTTAACTTGGTAAGTCTGAGAAGAAAGAGCTTTAAGTATGAAACAGGTTGTCAGACTATTAGAATAACGGTACTATAAACAAAGACGTGGCTGTCTTTAGTAGCTTTCTGATAGTAATATTATAATATTGATAAACTTTGTTTTTGTGACACCATTTATACACACAACGCAGCTCAAAGTGCTTTATATCAAATTATGTGTGTAAACAAATAAGGGGTGGATGAATAACATGAAAATGTCATTAAAAAGGGGCATAAATATAGAACCTGATACAACCTGAAGTCAGACTAAATTGAATAAAAATGGACGGTCACAGTAAGAGTCTGTAACCGTCTGTAAACTAATGAAACCATAAAATCAATTCAGTGTAAAGCTATTGAAATACCCGTAATGTGCTTTCTTTTGCTTGTTTTGTTCAAACTTATTTATTCAGTTTTTGGAAGTACCCTCATATTTTTATTAATACCGTTGGTCAGGTGTTTTTGGTTAAGTAGTTAAAACAACACCAACACTTGAACAAAGAAGATGCGGACTGTCTTTCATAATTTCACTCTGGAGCCTGTGTTAGGTTTGAGCAGCAATACTATTAATTTAGGTTTTGTGTTTTTCTGCAACACTTTAAAAGCATCTGGTGAAATTCATTTTATTTGTATATGAATTGATCTGCTTTTTTTTTTTCCAACAAAATATTTTATTATTATTTCAAGTTTTACAGTATGAAATAGTTATACATATAATCTCCACATCACATCAAGCTGTCAACATTGTTTTTGTATACAGTACAAAAGTGAGTAAATTAAAATAATAATAATAATAATAATAAATAAATAATAAGAAAAAAAATAAATCTAGAACAAGAGCAAAAGTGAAATGGTACCATAATTTCTTAACAATTCAGGAGTTTTTCCTTCTTTTTTTCCCTTTCCCTCCTTCTTTCTCCTTTATCACTAGTTCAACCCACAGACTAAGATCCTATAATGTCAAGTACAGATATACCATCAGTGGCTCCCACCTTTTCTTGAATAAATCTGGAATAGAATAGAACTTTATTGATCCCTTTGGTGCAAACCTCCGGGACATTGTTGATCTATATCTATATTTTATTTTCTCCATTGCATACACCTTTACCAGCCTTTCTTTCCATTGATTTACTGTGTGAGAAACAGGTTTATACCAGGATACTGTTTGATTTGCTTTTATTTACAAAAAAATAAAAAGAAGTTTGTAGGGAGCCTTCAGTTTAAATAGATAAGTATTTGCTGACTGGGGATGAAGCAGAATTTTTATATATATTTGTTCCTTTATACTTTTTTTTCTTTTGTAAATAATTTCTTGCATATTTAAATTTATTTATTTACACCAGACTTGAAAAATACCATTTCTACCCAAAATCACCTGAATAATATTCTTACAGATGGAAACGTTTCACAAACTAAAAATCATGCACATAAAATCAACGCTGTGACATTCATAGATATTTTTTGGGTCAGTTTTTGTATCAGCAGATATGCAGCATTGAACGATTAGAAGAAAAAATATCTGACATTGTTGTATGCGCATACATTTTTTAAAATGGTGTTGGCCAGAATAATAAAAACACATTTAAGTGTCAAAAATGTCAAAGAGTTGAGTGACTTCCTGTGTGTGATAAAACTGACCGTGACTTTGTTCCTGCAGCGTTCCCCGGAGGTTTTGGACGATGCATTGAACTGGTTGGAGCGAACAGGAGAGCCCGCTATGCGCCAGCGCCTGATGGAGTTCGGTCACAAACACACCTGCTTCACAGCCCTCCACTTAATCTTCACCGAGTGTAAGCTACAGTCGCTGCTCTGCTTCTATCATCTCACGGCACACTTCAGCTTTTTCTGCTTCAGTGTATTTCAGAGCTATTTTAGAGCACAGAAAGTGTTTGACGCCTGTAGAACTTGTTTGCTGGTGACATCCGTGTTGGTTTTCAAGGTGAATTAATGCACTCGCTTGTATCTTTTTTTTTTTCCTTTCAGTTGCTAAGTTTGTTCAGGAAATGGGTGGCAGCTACGACAAGACGATGAAGTCGCTGTTTTTTAAACCAGCGGACTATCAAGTAGAGGTAGGACTCACAAACACGATCTGCTGCCTGCCTCTCTGATATATCTACATTTTACTGTAGATGTTCGGGCACTTGAATTGCTTTTTTTGCTGTTTGATCACATCGCTGTTTACTGAGAGATTATTTATGGGGCATCTGAGAGACCTGAGACGTCGAGTAACTTGTAGTTATGTGATCATCTAACATCACAGTAAAAGATTACAGATGTTATTTCTGAGTGTAGCCGAACAAGCGGGAGGATTTTACCTATAAGAGGGATTTACATATGACTTCAATTAACAATTGTTTTATCTGTTCATCTGCAGGTGAGTTTACTTTCCTCTAAACATCTGTGTCGTAACGGCGGAAATAAAAGTTGTGGTTTGTTCTGTTCCTCTTTCAGAAAAGTAATGAGATGAAGAGGAAAGGAAATGAGAACTTTCAGAATCAGCAGTATGAAGAGGCTGTAAAGTTTTATTCCAAAGCCATCAAATTTTAGTAAGTCATGCTGCAATATTGTCTCTAAAAGTGTCTTTTGTTTGTTTGTATTTATTTATGTTTCTTTAGGTAACCAGTTTACTCAGTCCATATTTTCATGATACAGTATTGTAATATTTGTTGACTGTATTTAATCACTACATGAAAGGGCAAAACATAAAAAATACACATACAAAAAAACTAATTTTTGAGGATTCATTGAAGGTTTAGTGTCTTACATTGTACATTTGTATTTAATAAACTGGTAGAGCTGTGCACTTTTGTAACTGACAGTAATTTCTTTTCATTCCAGCCCTGACAACCACTTACTGTACGGTAACCGAGCCCTGTGCTATATCAGGTGTAAAAACTATCTGTAAGTACCACCTATTATATCCTTATTGTATATATGCTAAAGCACCTTTCATTCATAAATAATATAAGTACAAAGAGTCAGTGGAAAAGCTGTTAAAGTTAAAAACTTCAATGAGTTTAATATTCATGTGAAAAGTGTCACTAAAGAGAATACTCAATAAAGCTAATTATTTGAACTTTGAAGTGTTCGTGCTCGATGGAAACACACCTAATGTTTTTTGTTGTTGTTTTGTTTTAATTCCGAGTCTATTCAACCTGTATATATTAAAATTTTGTAAAATCATTGAGGTTCAGCAATTCATTAAGTTAACTCATTACCCATTTGCCCATGAACAATCAAAATATTTAGATTTTTACCTTTTGTCTAATAAAGTCTCGACAACGTCACGTCAGAGCGGATGTAAGTTTCCGCTTCTATGATTGTTTTCATTCTAGGTTGACTCATCATCTTCGTCATTATGAGCTCCACATTCGAGCAGAGCAAATGATGAGCTGTTGCAAAAACTGTGTAGGTGTTTATTGAAGAAATGTCTTAACCAATGCAGGATTCATTTTATTTTATTTTTTAAAATATTTTGCAGGAAAGCGGTTGGTGATGGAAAACGTGCTATTCTGATTAAACCACTCTGGCCAAAGGTACACATCTCTCTTATCATGTGGATGCATTGTGTTAAAAAGTGAGACTGAGCCAATAAAACTGAGGGGTTTGTGATGTTCAGACCCCATCAGCAGCATCAGTTTTGGCTCTAATCAAAGCATTTCCACTGCACCATAGCGGTATAATGACCAAGGCTGAGTGCAGATTCAAATTTCTCTCATCAGGTAGAGACTCAAGTCTGTGTTACTGAATGTATTGTGTCTTTTCCTACATTTGCTGTTATTTCAATATTTGGCACAATTATTTTTGATGATTTACTAAATAAGGGAGTCATTTAAAATTCCCAGCAACCCTTTGAAGATAAGTAAAATTCTGAGCTTTCATTCTGACCTTCACAAGATAGTTTTTATCTTTAGACTTGAGTCTCCCTTTTCCACCTGACTGTCATTCTGCACTTATATTTTGGTACAACTTTATTCCTGCAATACAGACAGCAGATTTTTGTTTAGTTTTTTGTTTTTGTTGTTGTTGTTTTTTTAAAAATTTAAATAGAGTTTTCTGTGTTGGGGAAAGTCAAAAAAACGAAGTGAAGTCACACAGAGCAAGTGTCTATCATTGTTATTTATAGTGATCAATCATATCTATGCGTACAGGCCTTCCACCAAGAGACAAATGTATAAAGTTATAATACTTTATCTTTGAGGTACGTTTGGCTTTCATATCCGTCCCAGCAGTATAAACGAAGGTGGAGTTCAGTGTTTCTGGTTTGTTCTCCAGCGAGGCAAGCCGCGACTTCACAGACTTTTTTTTTTTGTGTGTGTGGGCTTTTCTTCTTTCTTCCTCTCTGAAGCCAGACTCTCTGACTTACATCCACAAGACAGTAAAGATATGAAGTCCTCTGCAAACTGAGGTCAAACTGATCTGTTGGCTCAAACAAATAGTAGATAAGAGACAAACCTTCACATGAAGCAGCACACAGTCAATATGCAAAACACAGAAGAGTAATAGAAGTTGTGAATGTAAAATATAGAATTTACATCAGAGCTTGATATGGTTTCAATTTAGATTCCACCTTTCCATTTATACCTAGTGTGCATTGTTGGTGTAGTTTTAGGGTGTTGACACTGAGACAGAGAGACTTGGAACTAATCCTGGGATTGAAGCTGCACCTTCAGTCTGTGTGTTCGGTGACGCACACCTGAGCCAGTCTGGCGCCTCTGCGCCTGACAAACTGCCAGCGTGGTGGTTGAAACTCAACGGAAGAATGTCACATGCGTTGGCAAGAAATTTTGTGCCAACATTCATGGTTCCCAGAGCTGATCCTCTGTTGCCCCGTAATGTTTACATTAGTGTTTATTTGTGATACTTCTTGCAGCTGTTGATTAACTTTGGATACTCTGGTCTCACTCAGGATGAACTCTAATAACTTTAATCTTCACACCTTTTATCTCGTGTCACTCACATTAGCGTGTTAGCGTCGATATTGTGAGAGTACTTAAGTTGTGTTGTTTTATTTTAAGTGCAGACCTTTTACACATAATAATAATAATAATACCTTTATTTATATAGCTCCTTTTTAAAAACAGAGTTAAGAAGAGCATTAAACAACAGAAGGCTGGTCAGTTGAAAGGTGGTACAAGATTTTCAGAATAACTTAGTACGAAAACATGAGATAGAATAGTAAAATGCCATATCCAAGTAAACAAAAGAACAAGTGGAATGAAAGAAAATAGAGGGTTAAACCATAAACGCAAGGCTAAAAATGAACATACATTTAAACCAAGTGATTTCACCCATTTTTTATATTTCGCAGTAATTTTTTATACAGAACAGGATGTCTGTATTGGAGCTGCATAGATAAACTTATAGTGTTTTCTCCATTTATTCGAAGTGCTTCACACACCATTTATGTACTAACATTTGGGTGTCTAAAATTGAACTTGTCTCCGATCATCTGACACTAAACATGTCCAGACATGTCTCTTGATGTTTTTTTTCCCCTCATTGCAGCATCTGCACTCGCTGATGCCTTTACTCCTGTTATTGGGGGTTTTTTGGGGTTTTTTTTAAAGTGCTGTTCCTACTGAATTTGGCATCAATTCTCTCTAAGGTATCAATCGTCCTGAGATACCCACACAATAGTAGTTTTAGATGTAGCTGAAATAAACAGAACCTGATCTAAATAACATTAGCATCTCAAATTTGCATTAATCTTGACTACAGACTCTGCTGGTGGGATTGCAGGATTATAATAAGACTAGAAATGTCTTTTTGTTGCTACTATATTCTTTCATCATTATTTTTATGACATGAAGATCTGCACTGTCCGCAGATGTAGAGAACTTCATGAGCAAATGGCAGTTATGGCTCGTTCACTAAAGCTTCTTGGTTTGTTTGCAGGGTCACTATCGCTACTGTGAGGCATTGTTCTTCCTGGGAGAGATCAGAATGGCTCTTGAGGCAAACTGCTTAGCCCAGACGCTGTTTGAGGAAGACAATGACGGAATGAAAGACCTGGAGCTGCAACACGAGAAGTTCATCCTTGAGTTATCGAAGTCGCAAGGTATTTCTACTCCTTCTGAAATGGATGAATTGCCTCGAAGTTTAGGTTTTTCTGTGAATTAGTAACTGTGATTTACGCTGGCTTCAAGGCAGTAAAATCAAAGGTGAACAAAGGTCAAGAAAAGTAGTTTTTCAATGTAAAAGGTTTATTTTTGCTATTTTTAATTGAATTCCAGCATCTGTAGCCTTTAGCTAGGATCTGATTATTTCTTGTCATCAATGTAAATAACTTATTTATCAAATCAAAATCAAATCAGGTTTATTGTCATTTTGCTGGACATACACAGTAGTACGGACAAGATGAGAGCATTTCTTCAGGATCATTTAATTAGTACGTTTTGCAGAATGCACGTCTGGGATAGACAAGACACTAAACGTTCACTCTCGCTGTCTCCTGAAGGGGCCGCTGGGTCTATGTGCGCCGCCATCACCGTGGCAACCATGAATATGATGATATATAATGATTAATCTTTTACAGTTTGTTGTTCTTCAAAGCTGAAACTCATATGTATGTGTTTTGTTTTCCGTAGGATGGACAAAGAAAACTTGTATTAAAAAGTATGTATGCGCTGCCTCATACACACACTCTACAAAAAAAACGATTAATTACCGCTGATGAACATTTGTTTAATCAATTTCTATGTATTTCAGCCCAGGCAAAAGTTTTAAAGTCGGTGTAGTGATGCAACGACCCCAACCGGAGAAAGCTGTTAGTAAGAACGATCCGGCAACCAGCGCGTCTTCAAAGGTCAGCAACCGTCCATTCAGTAACACAAGAAAATACACGTGTTGTTTGGGATGTTTAATAGATTTAGTTAATTGAGAGGCTATTGAATAGGAACAATTTTCATACTTAATCAGCCAATTTTGGGAATTTGCTCCTTTTGTTTGTCTTTTGCGATCGTAAACTCAATCTGTAGGTGTTAATTGAACAAAATGAATTGGATGATACCACTTCGGACCATCGACACTTGAAATGTGACACAGTTTCACAAAATTTAAGATTTTTTTTCCCCCCAAAATTCAAATAAAAGAGCAAATGTCAACTAAAGTTGGTTTTACAACTACTTGAATGCATAGTTGAGAAGCAAAATGAACATAAAGAGAATCAATTATGAAGTTATCTTTCTTTATGCTTTAATTTAAGCATTTATGTGTGAATTTGTACATTTTCAACATCAGTATTTAAAATTTAATGTTGTATTTTCATACGTTTACATTTCAGTGTCCAGATTTAAATTTAGCTTTTTGTGTTTATTGTTGTTTTTAGATTTTTTTTGGAGTATTTAATCCAGAGTGCTAGGTTAATTTTATTTATTTTCCATTTGCATTTTCATAATGAAATTGCCATTTCACAGTACCAGTTTATCAGTTCAGTATCTAGTTTCCATTTCATTTTCCTCTTTTAACACATAATCATTGTCTGATGATCCTGAGGTATAAAGTTTTATTTTTTCTTTTGATTTTAATTGCTAGAATTTCTAAAAAATCAAACAAAAGAATTCTCTGGATATGAAAGAACTTGTTGGTTGCAGCTCTGTTTTTGTCCTTGTGAACATTTTACAATATGGCTAACATGTAAAAGGCCCTGACACGTATGTGTTTGTTCTTTGTTTTTATGGAGCTCAGAGTTGATCATTACCTTGTGTGTTGACAGGTCTCAGAGGGTAAAACAGAGAAGCACTCAGGTGAGTTTTAACACCGAGCAGATCCTGAATCTCTTCATTGTGCTTCCCAACATTTAGAATTTGCCTTTGAGGCTCAGACTGTAAACACAAGCCACCTACTGTTGGTCATAATATGTGTGTGTAGTGGCAGTATGTTGTTTGTGTCATTATATACACGCAGATTGACTTAAAGATGCTCTGTGTGCAACTTAGGGTCCAAAAAACCAAGTTGAATGTATTTTACTCTTTATGAAACACATAAAGACATTTTTCTTCTTGAAGATTTTAGATTGTCATTGTTCTCCTTCCCTGCTTTTGTTGACATATTGCTGCGTATATACCAAATGGCCTTAATGGTTATTGGGTCACCAGTAAATGTGCTTTTTGTTTGTTTTGTGTTTCATATTTGGATCTTGTGCTATATTACAACGGTACATTTTGCTGATGTTTTGGTGTTTTCTGTCCTTTTTTAATGAAGATATGCATCACAGTGTTACCTGATTAAGTCTCTGTGGAAGTTTTTGTGCATCTCCAGCAAAAGTTTTTATTTCTGAGTACATCAGCTTGTACATTTTGCATGTGTTCATACACATACAGTCAAAGGATATCTTGGCGTGATACTGCCACCTGTAGATTGGTCAGCTAGCATGACATCAGTGGCAGGAGTGTGTATCAGGGACCCACATGTAGAAATGTTGCTCCATAAAAGCTGTAGTGGTCCAAAACTCCCCAATGTAGCTTTAATGCTTAATGGGCTCTTGTTTTTGTTGTCACATTGGTTTAGTTTTGTTATTCATTAGTCCATATTTCCTATAGTGAGCCGCTCAGAGTAGTTCAGATAAAACAGGATAGCTTAATACGGACACAAGTATTGTTCACTTAGAGCTGCTGTCGAAGAGTCCGATGAAAACTTTCAAAAGCCAAACTTTGTTTTTCCAATTTTACCTTTAAAGGGCAGAGTTAGTTTTGTATTTTAACTCAAGAATAATTTTACTCTACTTGTGTCATTGCAGCTTAATAGTTAGATATATTCTCGCAACAATATTTTATGCTGTTAATATTAAGTGTCTGCTGATACTGTACATTTTTTAAAATTTATTTTTAAACTGTTTGTCTGAAAAGGCCAGACTTCTCTGGCTTTTGGGCATTGTGAGGGACATTTCTCTCTATTTTCTGACATTTTATAGATCAATCAATTAATCAATAAAATATTCAGTTAGTTCCAGCCAGAATATTTTGTTTTCAGCCTTGCAAAGATTTTTTTGTTCCGTTGAGTAAGATAATAATTACTGAAACTTTGTCTAATTTTCTCTCCAGGAAAAAATGAAAAACATGCACAGACAGAGAGCAGCACTAAAGATACTAAATCATCAAAAAGGTTGGTGGAAAGACTGTTATTATTATTAATAATGTGTATTTAAATTTTTTCAGCGTGTAAGGACCTGTTGCTGGTGGTCAGTATTGTTGTTTTTAAAATGCTGTTGTAATTGTGAAGTGCACAGATGCTGAAGGCTGTAGCTGATGACAGTGTTGTATTTTTATTCTGCTAAAAGGTGAATTCACGTTCCTGCCACCTGCATTCACTGACTATTTGACCTAATTTTCCGAGTTTATAAAAAGCTGCGGGCTCTTGCACAGTAATCCAAACATTTGTGCCTGTTCAGTAAGGAGCTACATTCAAAAACAGCAGCAAAGACATGTAAGGGAGTGAAAAAAACACTGTTTTCTCTCAATAATACTACAGTAAATAAATAAATACTACAGAGAGTGAGATCCACCTGACCTTAGCATGCAGCTCACAGTGATGTAATTATTACTGGTAACAAACCAGAGGGCTAAACAGTTGATGCGTCTATAGATTCTCACCATAGTCAGGCACCGATAGAAAGGTTGCTTCAATCGGAAGACACAATTTAGTAATATTGATTAGCATATTTGGGTGAGACTACTCACAGCTGTCAGCATGATTGGTGCACGTATAGTAAAGACGATGAGTCATGTGTAGCCTTTCTGGACAGAAATCTATGCATTGTCCTGTTATTTTTAACTATTTGATGAAAAAAACCCCAAATAATAACACTGGTTAAAAACATTTTCAATTCATATTCATTGAAATATAATTGTTTTAGTGCTGGTGATTTTCTTTGGCACTTGCTAAACCCTCTTTGAAGGAAAACTCCTGATTGATATCTGTATTACTATACTGGATAGCATATTCATATATTATAGTATCATTATAAAATACACAATCACCAGTATAAAAATTGGTGATATAGGATTAATGATTATACCCAGTTACAGAGGAGAACAGACGAATCCCCACGATTATAGGACAATTTTCACTAAAACAGAGTCAACATTTTAAAAGCATTTTTAAAAGCATTGCCAGTAGGTAGTGAGCAGTAGTGTGCCAGAGAGGATTTGGCTGTATTTAAGGTTGACAATTCTGTGCTTCCAGTGACTTTTCTTCAAAGAATGGGAAAGGAGAGAACCACGGCGCTGTGAAAAAGAAACCAAGGAACCGAAATGGTCCAACTGAAGATGAGGTGAGGCTGTAATTAAACTGCAGATGCATCTATCATATCTTTAGTCCGACTTTTACAACCTCGCTTAAGTCATTAGATGAAATGACTGACCTGCTGTGATGTTTGTTCTGCCCAGAACCAGACAGAAGCTGACAGTAAACCAGATGTGTGTAGAAAGTTGAGATCTCTGGTGCAGGACGCCCACACTGCCCTGGCTGACCTCCGCAGCCGCAACGCAGAGCAGGCGTTCAGCCAGGCGCTGGCCGAACTGGAAGACCTCACAGCCAAGGTAATCAAATTTCTCAGTGTGCTGAAAACTTATTGCAAGAAATCCCTCACAAATTGTCATTGTTCTAGTTAAACATCTTGTATTTGCATATTTTAATTTGCCCACAAATATAAATGGAACAGCTTTTGTCTGCTTTTAGCTGCAGATTATTGGTGCAGTGATTAAAAAATAAACAAAATTTAGCTTCAAATTTGTCAGGTTAGTCTCCATAGTCAGTCACAGAGTTTTAGCAAAAATATTTATATTAGTTAAATTAGGTTCTATAATTTATAATGCTGTATTTTCTTGCTCTAAGACATTAGTTTGGATAATCTTCATAAACATTAACTCTGTAGGAAGGCAGCATTCATATGGATTATAATCAAGTAAGGTAGTATTTTGTATGGTTTTGGCAGGTTTATTTCCTAATATGTTAATTACTCAGACATAGTCACACCTAAAATAACACTATAGGTTTGTTTAGTCTTGTCAGATTACTTTTGTAACTGAACTCTGATAACTTTCTGATAACTCTCTCTAACTTGTAGCACTCTGATGCTACGGCTGTCGTAGACACATTATATCAAAACAGTCTTAACTTGTCTTGAATTGACTTCTCTGTATTATTTTACTCTATATGTTTGCCATCCTACTTATTTTTTAAAATTTGTTTCCATTGTTTGTTTAGTTTGATGCTTGTTTTTATTGTAAAGCACCCTATAACTTTGTTTTACTGTTGTTTTCATTGTTTGCTTTCTCAGGATTTTGGACTTTCCACACTGGACGTGTTGTTGTTACTTTTTGGCCGTGCATCAGCTCTGACAGAAATCGGGCAGCCTGAGGTAACCTGTAGGAAACAGCAGTCAAGTTATCGAATTAAATCAAAACTAGACCGCACTTTTAAACAACCTGAGTGGGCCTAAGTTTTGTACATGTTGTCAGACAGGCAGCAAATAATGTACAAAACACAAAGACAGGATGCAACTAGTGAAATTTAGAATTTTAAAATTAAGTACTAAAACAGGCATCAAAGGAGAGCAACTTGTAGGATCAATTTCTAAAAAAATAAACATGAAATGAACATGAAATATTCAGACCATTAGGAGCAGCTGAAAACCACTGACAACATGTCTGTCTTGAGGGTTTTTTTTTTTTTTTTTTTCAAATAACAGTGACGAAGGAACACTTGATTGAAAGCGGAGGATTGTTTCAAAGCTTTGGAGCTGCTACTGCAAAGACACAGTCTTGATTACACAGCATCCTCGATTATGGAAAAGTTAACGGCAGTTGTTCCAAGGATCTAAGAGGCCTTGAGGTGGAGTCGCGGCAGAGAAGTTCTGAAATGTACAAATACTTTCACAATCGACAGACTCTGAACAGAAAGCGGACCTTCTAGCACACACAGATATTAATGAGTTAAGTCATCAAGCCACGTGGCACCAAACAGCTAAAGTTAATGCTTGCGTAAACGATTAGGTTGCAGCAATAACCCACCACAGCCTTTGGCATTGCCATTGAGTAAAACCCTTAAGGTGCAAAGTTCATGTTTACACTGCATCAATAGAACAAGGAATGCCGACTGTAAGTTTTATCAATGATTGTACCTGCGTTTGTCCTGCATGGATGGTTGTTGATAGCGACTGTAGTTTATAGATCTGCCTCTTAGTCAGTTAATGTTTGCAGCACATGTGACCTTTGAACCCTCAGCTATATGATGTTCAGTTACTAACCTCAACCACTATTAAATAGACCGGTAAATTTAAGCGTTAAAGAGACAAGGCTTGTGATGTGCTGAATTGTTTTTTAATTTCATGAAAGCTGTCCTTAATTCACCCCTCAGTGCTCGCAGACTTCCTTACCACATAGTCAGGAAAATAATCAACATTGAAAATAATCATTAGTTGCAGCCCTACTAACTAGCTAACTAACTAGCTTTTTGGTTCTGACCGAAGAGGAAAGTCTTTACAAACAGTATGCAAATATAAACTTTAATTATCTAAATCAGTTAAATACAGTGGTTCGTAACAAACTCAAACATTTTCATCAGTAGAGTGAGTTTTATACATTTAAGTCTTGTTAGTATTTACAGCAGCAGGATCACCACCTGGCTTTCAGTTTCAATTATACATTGTTAAGAACTGCGAGTTTCCTTTGCTGCCGTCACTTCACAGTTCATTTCTTTGTCAAACACAGGAACTTGCAGAAGCCCAAAAGCTTCTGGAGAAGATGAAATCGTATGAGGAGAGGACGTTTCAGTGTCTGGTTTACTATGCCATTGGCAGGGTGTATCTGAGAGAAAACAGGTGCAGAAGCGTTGTTTTTGAATTTTATGTCACTCATTTAAACTCCTTTGCTGTTTCAAACTGTTTTTCATCTGTGTCTCTTCTTTTATGCAGGTTTGCAGTCGCTCTGGAGCAGTTTTCAGATTCTCTGCAGATGGTGAAGAATCAAATAACACCTGGTAAACTCACCTGGCCTTTAACCAAAGAGATTGTCAAAGAAACACAGGCAGACTATTTCAAGGTACGTTGTCATTGTAGGTTTGTATTTGTGCCTGACAAATTTTAAACATATTTTTTAAGCAGTATTTACCATGTCAGTGTTTGAACATACGACCACATGCAGTACTTCTAAAAATTACTTTGTCCATGACAGTTCAAGTATAGCTTTTATTCGAGCAAGATGAGTCCTTGGTGTTGCAGACGAGAGAGAGAGAGAGACGACATTATTTTGTGCAGTTTACCTCAGTTCAGCCAAAAAGTCCTAGAACTTTTGTAGCGTCACTGTTCGTAGCAGCTAAGTCACAAACAGCTTGACGGTTCAAAGTAGTTATATTTGGCAAAGATTCTAAATGAGGCATGTAGAATAAGAGATTTTAATGAAATATAATGTCTGGAAGCTTTGTTTTGATTAAGTTAACAGATGGAACAGTACATCATGTTTAAAATTCATTGATTATTTCTCTTTTTACAGTTTCTGGGTTTCATAAATGGTGTAATTTTGGCTGTTTACTTTAAAATGACATGCATTTCAAACCCACTTGCATATTTTGGTTTCAGAGGGGTCATTATAAATATGTCACACGTGTCTTAATTTTCCAAATGATGTTGTTAAACATCCCTGTTGTCAAATTGGTTATTAAACTGTATTTCTGCACTTTTTTTTTTCCTCATCCGTTTTGTACATTACCTTAAAATGACCGCTCTTTAATATTTTGGTCTTTTGCAGACGAAAATGCAAGTATAAGTCAGTTGTTTCCAATTAAAACAAAAAAAATCCTTTTATTGGGTCATGATATTCGGCCCTAATTAAAATTCAGAAAATGCACCAGGAAGAGAAAAAGAAAATTCCAGTCAAATCCTGAAAATGTAAGCTTGCTGTTTTAATTTTTTTTTTAAATCCACTAAGATCTCAGCTGGTTTGTTGCTTATTCCAGAAAAAGAAGTTTTAATGGAAAGTAAAATATGGAAAAGCCAGATTTAACCCTGAAGTATGTGCTGATTGACTTGAGTTTTGTCTTTTTAGGGGATTCTGGACCGTGCTATAGAGCACTGCAGGTTCCCTCCTGTTCCTGATGCCGCCTGTCGTCTCGAGAAATGCCACAGTGCTTTGAAAGCTGAAATCTACTTCACCGATCCAGATTTTAAGGTAAATGGCAGCTAGTTACACTGTTTAGGAAAGTATATGTTAAAAGCACTGATGATTTTAAATCATGTCTACTTCTTTATGTAGGGTTTCATTCAGTTCTGCTGCTGTCAAAGTTGCAAGGTCGAATATCACATCGCCTGTTGGAAAACCCTGAAGACATCAGTCTTCTCTGAAAAGAATGAAAAGGTATACAGCATATCTCTGTGCACTTGTTGCTTTTCAGTCATCATAAAGAAGAAAGTTCCAGAAAATTTGTTGTGAACAGACTAGCTGCCTCCAGTCTAAATTGGATTTGTTTTGTGTTGTTTTTATGTTACAGGATTTACTGCAAGAAGCTTGTTTGACTCCAAACTGTGTTGGTCAGATCTGTAGTATCAAAATCTATGGTCCTACGGGTCTGGTAAAGTGTAAGGTAAGATGGTTTGGTGGGATACATCTATGGAGCTGAGGTTTGCTTCTTAAGGAGTCATGAGTTTAGTGTTGACTTGTTCTTTTCTCTTTACAGTTTGAAGCTGTGATCCCCAAACCACAGACTGCTAAGAAGCCAAAAGTGAATCAGAAGTGTACAAGGTGAGTTAAATGCAGTTCAGTTCCAGCACAGCGAACGAATACTCAGCTATTCGGCTATTCGGGTCCAGCCCTCGTTTGTACTGATGAACTCTGAGAATCTGAGCTTCACTGAGCTTTATAGGGAGTTTCAGCAACTTTGGTTTTCAGTTTGGAGTTTGCATGTTCTCCCCGAGTTACATTTCTCCAGTCACCCAGATTTGAATATTTTCTGGTTTCTTTCTTAGTCTATGACAATAAAACTGAATACCTTTGACTTGTGGATAAAACAAGACATTTGAAGATTTCATGGGGAGATCAAGTTTGATATCCCGATTCCAGCACAGCGAACGAATAGTCGGCTATTTGACTGTTCGGGTTCAGCCCTACAGTAAAGACATGCTTTATTCTGTATATTGTGTAATTACTTTCTAAATATCTACATTTTTGCTTCTTTATTTTCAGTCTGAAGAAGTTAAAGTCAAAGGAAGATCGCAGGCTCAAGAGGAAGCAGCATAAACAGTCATTTCAGGATAAGCAGACGATCAACGAGGAGATTCTGCAGCAGAAAGAAGCCACAGCAACTCAGAGTCAGCAGCAAGGTACGACTTCTTACTCCGTCACAACTCCACAGCATGTTATTCATGTTTCTCAGACCATTTCTGAATGACATCAAATAAATCTTTACTGCAGTTGCTTATTACTTTTCTACCAATATCATGCCTTCTATGTAAGATAACTTCAGCTTAACTATTCAGATCTTAAATCAAGCTTGTGTAACTCTTCATCCAACTCACTCAGCACATGTTGATCTGTCAGCTTTTGTTTCCACTGTGCTCTCAGCCTGGTTGCTGTACAGGGATCGAGTTCTCCTGCAGATCAACCAGCACATGGAGCTGCTGAGGGAGGAGAAGAGCCTCCAGGTTTCCACTCTGACTAGCAGTCTGAAACCGTGGCTGGAGCTGGACTCATCGAGGGGGAACCAGCTGGCTGCGAGGATGCTGAACTGGCAGCAGGAGCAGCTGGAGACTCTCGGTCAAGCTGTCGAGCTGCTGTTGGAGAGGAAGAACCGGGTGTGGGCTCGCGTCTTTATCCAACAACTAAGTATCTGTGAGGATATAAATCCCAAACTCAACAGCTGGGCGTGTCAGCTCAACGATGCAGGTCAGCATTTGTGAAGTTTCATTTAAATTTATGTCAGCAGAGTTCAGGTGAACCTAAAGGTGTAAAGCTTAGCTGATTACAAGTGTCTTTAGATTTCAGTAGTGTATAGTGGATGAATTCTACAAAATAGTCAGAATATATTGAAGTTTCAGTGTTCTGCAACAGTTTAAAGCCTGACTGACTTCCTCCTGCTTTGTTTAGGTCTGAACGCTGCTAGATCCTTCATCGAGCGCTACTCGGGACACCTGGAGCAGCTGGACTTGGCTCTTTTGCTCAACTTTCACCCACTGCAGGAGATGATTATAGAGAAGCTCGGCACTAGGCCAGAGATTTTTTCAAGCATAGGCTTGACGGTGACTGAATACCTAAAACAGGCGCCGCCACATGACATGAGACTGTTTATCTGGACTCTGGAGGAGCATAGAGATGACTATGTCTCCTGCCACACTATACTGGATGAATATTTTGATATGATGGGTACGTATTTAGAGCTTGACTAACGTGTCATTTGATGGCATTTGCGTTGACTGAATTACTTAAATCTGGTCTTTGTTTTTCAGATGGACATTGTTCGGTCTTAAAAAAGTCTGATGAAAATCAAAATGTAAGTTCTTGGAAACATAACAGCAATCTGTTTTCATGGGTCGATATTACTTACAGTAAAAGTCAGATTCCATGTAAATTGAACTAAAAGAAATAGTTGGACATTTGAGAGGAGAGTGGGCAGACAGCAGTGGTGTTGATGGGCGTGTCAGCAGGGGGTGCAGGGGCCACAGAGTCAAATCTGTTAAAAAAAAACAAATTAAGTTTGTTGGCCCGGTCCACGCTGCCTTCAACTCCTCTACTGCCAGCTGACCTCATCCCTCTCCAGACCTCTCTGGTGTTGTTCTTCCTCCTGTAGTCCTTCTTAGCCTCCTTGATTCACCTTCAGGTGTCTCTGTATTGTTCTCACCTCTTCCCTGTTGCCGTCTCTGAAAGCCCTCTTCTTCTTATTCAGGATGGCTTTGATGTCCTTTGTTACCCATGGCTTGTTGTATGGGTAACAGGGAACAGTCTCAGTTGGGCAAATTGAGTCCACACAGAAGTTGATGTAGTCAGTGATGCACTCTGTGAGCTCATCGATTACCTCCCCGTTCAGCTCACAGAGTGCCTGCCAATCTGTGACCTCAAAACATCCCTGCAGTGTTTCATAAGCCTCCTCCGACCAACTCCTCACTGTCCTCATAGTTGCAGGCTGGCTCTTCACCAGAGGCACATAACAGGGGCTGAGGTTGTGGTCTGACCTAACCAATGGGGGTAGGGGAGAGGAGCTGTATGCATCCTTGCATCCTTTACAGTAGCATACAGCAAGTTCAGGGTCCTCTCCTCTCTGGTGGGACAGCTCACATACTGGGTGAAGCTGGACAGTACTTCGTCCATGGTGACATGTTGAAGTCACCTGAGATAGCAATGCATGCACTCGGGTGTTAAGTCTGTAACTGGGCTATGGCGGAGCGGATGACATCACATGCCGAGGTCGGGCTGGCGGGGGGGATGTAAACACTCAACATTATAACATGGGAATACTCATGAGGTAAATAAAATGGACAAAGTCCAACGGCCAAGAGTTCAGTGTCTGGACAACAGATATGCTCCTTGCTAGTAATATGGATTGCACCACTGGTTGTTCACAAGAACGGCAAGCCCCCCCTGCTTTCCTCTTACCGTTACCGGTGCAGTCCCTGTCGGCCCAAACAGTCTGGTAGCCCTCGATGGAAACGTTGTCACCGGGAATGTCCTGGTGCAGCCATGTCTCTGTATAACACATCAAACTACACTCATGGTACTCCCTCTGACTCCTGGCTAGCGTCATTAGGTTCTCCATCTTGTTAGCCAGTGACCTCACATTGCCCATGGTAACGGAGGGGAGATTTGGCTTGTATCTCCTCTTTTCAATAAGCCTCCGTTTTTTGCAATTTGACAATAATTGCAAAAATAGCACAAAGTTCCTGAACTTAAATGGCATTTTCTGTTAGCTTAGCAAATGCTGCTGCTTTTCCTTCCCTCCTTGTTTTTCTTCCGTCTCCTTTAGCAATAGTGAAAAGCAGACAACACTAAACCCAAGTTTCAGAGTTTAACACTCATTAAACTTGTTTTCATTTCAGAATTCTCCTATGAAGACTAAGAGTCGAGGCCGGAAAAAGAAACAGAAAGAGCCAAAGGTCAGAAGTTGGATTTTTGGTTGTTGAATGTTAAAACAACATTATTTTGTTGCATAAAACTAAACCATTTCGTCTTTTCTTTCTCCTCAGGGTGTTATTGTTTTGTCTGGGATGAGAGGACTAACCCCAAGAGAGGAGTGGGACCAAGACTTTTTTGAGGATGAGTCTTTGTAAGTTTCCAATATCTTTATGGACGTGCAGATTGTGTTGTAACTGTTATATCATTGTGTTGTTAACATCAAGCCTTCTGTCGGCAGATCTTTCCTTGACGCTGCTGATCCGTTCAGCGTACCGAGTCATCTTCGAGAGCAGGTGGCTGATTTTGAGAACCAGTTCAACGGCACCAGACGCAGAGGTCTCTATAAAAACATTTTGGACAACAACCCCGACTCCACCAAAGAGAGTTTGTACGAGTAAGTTCAAGTGACAATTCGGTGTGTTTGCATGATTTATTTCACTGCATTAAAAAAGATGCAACTCTTCCATTAACTTCTTTTTTAAAACACATTTTTACATTTATCAAAATGAGTAGTATCCCAGGCCCCCCATGCTTTTGTTATTTTTAATATTTGCATTCTGTCTTTCCCACTGCAGCTACTTTGCTCAGATCTTGGATGAACATGGTCCGCTGATGGCTGAGGACCCCCTGCTGGTCGGTGAACTGGAAAATTTCCCTCCCGTCGCGCAGCAGAAGATCCAAGACGCGGGCGGCTTCGAGGCCTTCCTGCTGGAGTCTCTTCGCTTCATAAAGATGGGGAGGGCTATTGGACTGGCTAAGCATGCTGTCTCTCTGCAGCAGGCTGGACACGGAGCCAGTCTGGATGATCTGGACGAAATCGCAGATTCTGACGATACCTTTCCATGTCCTGATTTGCATGCAGACATTGAAACCGATTTCACAGGCTATGTGAGCGATTATGCAGCTGCACAGACTGACGTCTATCCCGTCCTCCCAAATCCATATGTGTTTGGCTTCCAGGCGATGGACAGTCACCCCCTCTCACACTGGTCTAATGGCGACAGTGAGCAAGTCACTTACTCTTTACCCGGTGATTACGGGGAGCTGGATTTTTACACCCCTGAGATGAATGGAGTTTATGGACCTGATCCAGTCGGAGACACTTTAATGGCAACTGACGAAAACTTTTTGAAGAGAGATGCAGAAGTGCAGGTTAACACCAACACTTCACCACATTTTAGATAAACTAGATGGAATGTGTAAAAAACATAAATGCATGCTGAAGTGTGTGTGTGAAAAACTCTTTTTTTGTTCTCGTAGACGTGTCAGGAGGCCATGAGGAGTGTTGCTGTGAATACAGAGCTTCATGAGCGTTTTGAAAGCTGCCAGGTGAGTTATATTATCTAACAAGAGCAGGATATTTTACGTTAATACACATTATTCGTCTGAATACAGAGATCCCAGGATGCTATACATTCTTTGCATTTAATTTTATTGTGACCAGGATACACATTGTTTGAAGTGTTTTACTGTTTACTAGTTAAAGCATTTATGACAGTGTTGTCCATCATCTGTTTTGTTTGTGCATTTTTATTTTTAAGCGTGAAATTATGACAGAAGTTCCAAATATAGAGAAGACTATGAAGGACAGCAGTGGTAAAAAGTACAAGGAGACTTCCTTAACTGTATGGCAGTTTTTAACAAAGAGAAACCTCTGAACTTTTTATTCAATATGTAGGTAGCCACTGGTAGTAGCATCACAGATCAGATAACAAACATAGTGACATTAAGGGCCGATCAGTAAGCAAACATGGGTATCTGCTCCATCATTTCCAACAGTCTTTCTGGCTGTCCAGACTAAAACGCATCCCCAGAACTAAAACAAGGTCGGCAGCTTCCAAAAGTCTGTTTTAGGGAGTTTAGTGTTTTAAACTGAAAATGTATTAGTGTGGATCTAACCCGTGCGAATAAATCATGCCGTAAATTACCTTTGCTGCAGATCATTCTCCTGCTCTCATCTATTTCTACTGCTACTATCAAAAAAAGAAGTCAAAATGCCAAATTAATAACAATAAACAGTCAGTTTAACTCTACTGTTGGCAGACTTTTGAGGGCTGCTGTGTACACCGATATATCTGCAGTCCAACAATACAATGGCCTTATTTATCTTTTAAGCTCAATATTTAAGTTGTTTATCTTTTCTTCAGGGTGACATCAACAAACTAGAAAAGAACAACAGAAAGTTGGAGCAGCAGATCGAGAAAATGTCCAATGGCTGTGACAAAGTCAGTCTATGTAACAGAAAAGACATCGTTTCACTGGAGGAGGACATACGCAAGATCACTGTCAATATCCAAGTAGGTCCAAAACATTAGAATTACCATGAATTTATCATTTTGTTTGTTTACTTTCACATTTATTATTTTTTACCTTCCTTTTTCCTAAATGTGATAAAGCATTTTTGGTGCTTTTATTATTTTATTTGTATCCATTGGTTTATGTTGTATTGATTTATTTTGTAATTTTTTTTACCTTTTGCTGCTCAGTAGTTTTCCAGAGTATTCTTCTGTTTTGGCCCGACTGTAAAGCACTTTGAAAACTGTTCTATATTTATAAAGTTTAGGTTATTATGTGTACATGAGTTGACTGACTAAAGTGTTTGTGGTTTTTTTCTGTTATTAAGGTGACCAATAAAGAGCTGGTGCTGTTCCAGCAGAAGCTGGAGGAGGAGGTGAAGAAGGACCAGAAGGAGAAGAAAGCCAACCAGGAAGTACTGAAGGCGCTGAAGCTGGAGATTGAAGATCTGGTAGAGCAACACGGGAGGTAAGACTGAGATGGTGATGGTGCATTACTTGCATCTCATTTATGCAGACATCTCAATAAATTATCTTTTATATTATTTACTCCCTACAGTGGCTGCTCTCACGTTATTCAGTCTCAGTTTGTTTAGACTGTACTGATTTTCGTGTGACTCTGGATGTAGGCTGCGAGTATCAGCCTGCTGTTGGCTGCTCATTTTAGGCAGCTTTCTCCTCCTCTGCTGCTTTCAGCTGTTCTGCTGTGTTCAAAATTCCCCTCACTACAGGAAACAACAACCACCAAGCAGCAACCACACACTCGATAAGGCCTGCTTGATTCTTTTGCTTAATAGTTGCAAAGATCTACAAAGGAAATGTTTGCAGCCTTTGCAACATTCATGTTATTACATGTCTGGAAGCATAGCTTTGTTTTGCAGGCGTAAACATGAATGGCAGTCGGAAATAACATCATCGGAAAAAACATCTTTGTAGCAAGTCGTAAACTGTCAAACCATGACAGGACTATACAAATCTTACATTTAGCTGATCTGTCTATTAAATCCGAGTTTACTACAGTTCCAAGACCAACAACACCTTGTGAAAGCACCTCAAAAAATCCCAAACTCTTCCTCACAGGGCTTAATGCCCGATGTTGAATCTCTTTTCTGACAGTTATTATCAGTCTGAGTTGACTTGAAACCTCGTTTTACTTTGGAAGCAGCCCATTCCTTTGACATTGACTTGACCAATGTACCGATCCGTTTCACTTCACATGAGACTCTGTGATATCTTTTTAGTAAGTTGTGAGGAAACCACATGCCGCTAGTAAATCTTCTGTGGTTTTAATGAGTCCAGTGAGCACCTGCACGGCTCAAATAAAAAGCTTTTTTAGATATATCTATAGACAGAGAGCTTTTTCCCACAATGGCGTGATGATAATGAGGTGTAGCCAGACCATCATGTTCTACATAATGGGGTACTCTGAATATGAAGCTTCAAAACGTCATCAAGTGATGGTTGATCTCTAATCATTTTTCTACATTTGTCTGTTTTTTCATGTGTAGTCTGACCCGGCGCGTCCGAGAGAAGAAATCCAGCTATGAATCCAAGCTGGCTGATTTCTTAGAGCGGAGGTAAGTGATGAGCGAGAGGTTGAAGTGAAGCATAAACTAAAAAACGCTCCATATTTTTTCCCTCACTTTATTCTTATTGTTTCTGCAGCAATCAGTCAGAAGCTGAGAAGCTGAGTCTGGAGGATGAGATCAAGCGCTGTAAAGCCTTGTTTACTTCGGCCAAAAGGAGGTGTCACACAGCTCAGGTAGGTCCTACACCCAGACGCTAATCAGCCATGTTTACTCTAAATAGTTCATTCTGGTTTGAAAGGAGACTTCACATTTTTCAACCTGATAACCTTTACATTGGTCCTGTCTGAGCATTTAGCTTTTTTTTAGGAAAAAAAATACTTTCTCTGTTTATATTACAAACATTTCTGATGTTGAATGTACACTTGCATAAGAGTGTCCTTCCTGTGTTTTTTTTTTAATACACCTGCACAAGCAGACATTCAACAAGCATCTTTATAAATATGGTGCAAATAATTACATCACAATAAGTTACCTGGCTCATCTCCTGTCCTTCTGATCCTTGGAAAATTACAAGTATTTCCTTCCCCAGGTGCATTCACTGGTCATTATGTGGTTAATTGGTCAGCTTTACCTTTTCCTTGTTCATGAACTAATATGCACACAGATCATGCCTTTCTGTAGCCTCCTTGTCTTCAGAATGCGTACATGTTGGTAAAACAGACATCACCTGTGAGTAGATGTTAGTAAGACAAGAGCATACAAGTAATTGAAAACACACACATCTAATGACACATAAATAATTGATAACTACGTAGTTAATTGATGAACTAAACAAATTACATGAATTAATGATGAAGCGACACATTTCCCCCACAGTTTTCCTACAATGTGTCCTTGTGACTTGCGTAGTTAGAGCAGTAAAAAGTTTGATTTAAGCGACAGATAATTTTAAATGAAACTGGATGCACATTATAAAATCATTTCTTACAGGCTAGTATGAGGATAAGGATTGATAGCTTAGGGGAATTTTTTTATTTTTTTTTTAAAGATGGACTCAAAAGCTTGTGAACACGTCCATTAACTCTGCTTGTTTTCATCCTGCAGCTGTCAGTCATGGAGAGCAGCCACAATCAGGGTTTGTACGGCCTCCACAGAGAGCTGGCGGATGCCAAGGCTTTGCTGATGAAACTAGATGAAGCGAAGCAGAGGTGAGAGCCAATAAAAATACATGCTAAAGCTAAAAGTAGCTCCATACTGGCTAACTTTAGGACTCCTTTTGGTTCAATCGCATAACCAGACCTACTACATTTCCACACTTAATTTTAGAGCTCTGCTCGTAAAAATGATAGAACGGTAGTTTAAAATAAGGTTTATAAAGTCAGCTATGGTAATCATGTAGCTTTAATTACCTCATCTACCAACATGGTGCTATGAATTGTGAGCAGCGGGATGCTTCCTGCCGTTCAGTCAACGGCCACAAGTGTCACTGAAATATCTTTTCTGAATGTTGAACAGGGAACCTTTACAAAGATACTCTGACTTTTACTGCCATTTACGAAGATCAATCGATCATTTGTGAATGTGAACATGACTACAGATGGTTTTAGGTTAATGTGTGATGTCCTTTATCTTTGTAGACACCCAAACCAAGAGCTGGAATTAGCCAGAAACAGTTGCAGAGCCAACGTTGAGGAGATTGAAAAGAAAATCTCCACTGCTGAGGTAAATAAATCCATTACATAAACCAAAATATTATGGGTTTTAGAAGTGTGTTTGTAATTTTGATGTCTGTAAAATGAACCAAATTAAGCCTGTGGTGAAACGTGGTTTAATAAATTGAAACCTTTTCAAGCATTAGAAATAGTCTTTCGGTGTGCAGTTGTCTAGTTTTTGCTTCGATTACAAAATTAGACACATACTTCAGTAACAGACTGACAACATCAAATTTGCATTTATTTGTTTCTTTGTTCAGATGTTTACAGCGAGCTTTTTCATACAATAATTCCAGACCTCAGCATCTGTAGTAAGATCTGTCTTTTTGCGGTCTACAGCGGCTGTACAAGCAGCAGATGGATCAAGTGAAGAACGGCCGAAGAGCCAACGAGCTGCTTCCAGCCAACAACCAGCCCGAACCTGCAGCTGCACCAATAAGACCAGTACAACATGTTAGTTCGGTAATAACAATAATTAAACATTCCCAGACATAAGGATGTGCTGCTTTTTTACATTATATCCTTGTAACTGTAACATTTTCTATTACTGATAATGCAACAAAAGCAGATCAGCCTGATTAAAATCTTAGTGTTTCCATGACTTTTTTACTATTTTTATCAAAGTGCAATCAGTTAGCTGTAATCTCAGTAAGTCAGATACACATTAAACCAACATTTAAGTATCAGATTGGACAAAGTATCTGCAGATATCCAATAATAAATATTAAATTGATTAATGTAAACTGTTTGCCGTTTTGTGTGAATGTTGCAGCTCTCGGCGGCAGCCAAAGAGTTTACTCCTCAGTCTTCAGCTCAGACCTCCCTCAGCACCCCCTCACCTGTCCAGAAGTCTGCTCCACCTGCAGCTCAGGTGGCGGCTGCTCCGGCTCAAGTGCAGCGCAAACCTCCATCCAGAACCACGGAGCCTTCACACACCACCGTGTTTGAGAAAGCCATGGAGAACCTGGCCATCATGTTCCCAGATTATTCAAGGTAACACTGCACCACTGGTACGAGTTGGCTGCTTATTCCGTGTCTGGTTCCTTTGATGCCACAAATGTCCCATCACCACTAGGTAGTCACTTGTGGATCACAGTTATTGGAAGTAAAGAAAGTCAAGGAACACTACAGCCCTGAGAATGTGAACAATAAAATAAATTTGCTGTTTGTGTTCAGGCCAGATTTGATGAAGTTTGTTCAGGAGCTGCGTTCAACCAGCGGTGGAACTCTCAGCAGCATGGCGTTGCAGGATGTTGTCGGTGGAGCGACCCAGCTGATCCTCGACCACCAGGTAGACTTAGTGTTTTTTGTTGTTGTTTTTTTTAAGCAGATGTAAATGTTTAATAAAAGAGCTTGTCTAAAATAGACCTGGTGAAAGTCAGATTGAGTGAAATAGACTTCAGGTTTCTTTTATTGTTGTTTTTGTGTATTTTCATTCCTAAAAACAAAGTAATGTTTCTCTTAAGACTAAATCTGTGCAACAAAGTCAAAGATAAAATATATCAATAAATAAAATAAGTTATATTCTTACTGAATAGATACTAAAACAAATCCTACTGATGAGACCTGATCCAAAATATCATCTCACAGGTTACCTTTCAGGTTTCTGCTACAAGAATCTCAACTGTATGCTATCAATCGGGCACTCATTTTCATCCGTAAATAATCCTGTTGATTTTTTTTTTCTTTCAGGAGAGGCTTAATTCTGCCAGGTCCAACATCATGGGACGTAGGAGTCCCGCTCAGTGTGCCACCCCTCCATTGGTAAACCCAGGCCTAGTCTGGCAGCCAGTCGGATCCCAGAGAGCCCCAAACCCCAACGCAGTAAGTCATCCATCAGTGTCAACTGCACCGACTGTAACCCAGGCTTGGCTTGAAGCAGCAAAGTGTTGCATCCACAATGTTATCTCTAAATGTTATCTCTTAATTGCTGTTTGTGACAGTCTACAAAGTCTCTGATTAATTATTAGACTGTTGGGTTGACAAAACATGACAAAGAGATTAACCATTTCCCAGAATCCACTTGTTAAGTACATATTGTACCAAGACAGGACAGTGCAACAACAATAGTTAGAAGGAAAAGTTAGAAAGTGTTTTTAAAAAATGATTGACTCAGATAGTTGGATCTCTTCCGACAGAAGGTGCATAAAAGTTGACGACAAAGCTGAACTTTAGCATTCACCCTGGCATGCTAAAACCTGCTACTATCTGCTCACAAGCACTAAGCTCGAAGTACAAAGTCTTGAAGGCATTTAGTCACAGTAGGTAAATTGAACTTTTTACCAGATAGAATAGAATAGAAATACTTTATTTCTCTCAGACCTGGGAAATTTATTTATTTATTTATTTATTTATTTGATGGCAGCACTAATTGAAATTATCACGGCAGTTTTTACAGTTCATCCTGAAGGGATATGAATGTCTGGACCAACTTTTCATGGCCAACCAACATGAACACTGCCTACACTACACACTACAGGGCTAAAAAAAATAACCATTCCCACTGCAGTTAGGTATTTGGTCAATACTCTGTTTTCTAACCATCCTGCTAAAACATCTGTGACCTTTAACAGATCAGGTATTTACTTTTGTGACTAAAGAATTTCCTTGGCACTAAAGTTTTAGCAAACAGAAAGAAATTTGCTGCTACAGATTAACACACACGTGCTCTTCTGTATTTACAGCAGCAGTCGATGTTAAGCTTGCACTGTGTTTCACCAGCTAACTATATGCGTAAATGATGTGGTAGTCTGTACACTGGCTAGACCTGACTGTGTGTGTCGCTTGCAGCTGAACATGGAGGATCCGTGCGTCATCTGTCACGAGGACATGATTCCAGAGGAGACCTGTGTGCTGGAGTGCAGACACAGCTTCCACAAAGAGGTGAGCAGGAAGACCAGTTCAATACTGGTGGCCAGAAATCACATCACATACCTAAATGAGGATTTTTTTTTGTGAATGGGGGGGTTATGTTTTCTGTTGAATAAACTATATGGAACATTCAGAACCACAATGTCGCTAGAACACCAGAAAAACAAACCTCCTTAAGTCTCTTTGTGTTTCATTTAGAACAAGAAAGGTTGCAAGAGAGCCAACAAAAGTAAATCCAGACACAACCATTATCCCACATTAGCACTGTGAACCATATTTAATTCCCACAACATAAAGAGCATCAACAACTACTTTACTGTTCCCTTAATATATGTTTTACATTCCGTATTATTTGAACAGTTAGTAATTAAGTCCAGTTCTAACACACTGCCCGTTTAGGGGAAACACTGCAGATGCTGCAGAAAGAGAGATGATGTGACAGCTGCTGCATTTATTGCTATATTATATATTTTAAAATGCTCTTCTCTGACAGTGTCCGGCTGCAGGTTGTAATGATGAAGCTGTGGTTGGATTTTTGATTATTGTTCATTGCTGTCATTCAGTCTGTGGGGCTGTGGAGATGACTAGATGTCACTATGTGAACCTTTGGTGCAGATGTGTTTATGAGTTCAAGGATACAGGAACTTCAACACAACACTCAACCAGCAAAACTATCACTGCACCTACAACTCTGCTGCTTGTAGTCCGTGTTACAACCTTTAAAAACCAATATGTCACAGCCATAGTTATAACAACGGCTATACCCACAGATGAAGGTGTACTGATTGTGTAATCAAAACTAGCAGCAGTCTAAAGGTTAATGACACTACATCATTAAATATGTGGAGTCACTGCACCCTCAGCTGTGGTCAGAGCCAGTGTTATGATTATGGCTGTATCATAGTGGTTGTAACACTGACAGCAGAGGTTTAGGCCCACTGATAGTTTTGCTAGTTGAGTTTGCATTGAAGCTACATTTTTTCTTTCTCAATCTGAACTCGCAACCAGAAAAGCAGCCAGAAAAGAAGTGTAGCTTGTATATCTTTACATAGCAGGTAGTTTTTTGCTGCCAAACTAAAGTTATATTTCTATTGAAAATGTCACATATTGCACCTTTAACACAAACGCTTTTATCATTTAAATAAACAGCATTAATATTAGGATTTTATTTAAGGATCACAATGTGTCATCAGTTTCAGTATAGGAGGTTTTTAAACATAAATATAAATGTTTGAATTCTTAATAAAGCAGCAAACAACAATCTGTTAGGTAAAGACAATGTAGTCATACCAGCTCCGCTTGTTGTAATCTGAGCTTTGTTGTTCTGTTTTGGTAGCTGCACGTACATGCGTTTGAGATTGACAAGTCGTTACACACATTCAGTGTGTTTTCAAATGCGTGAGATAATGGTTGTGGCTGTATTACATTTCTGGTTGTAAAACAAGCACAAAGGTTGGGAGAAAGTGCAGCGGACGGGCCACTTTGTTTTGGGCTGAAATGCTGGTGCTCTAGTGACATCCAGTGGTTCTGAATATTGCATACAATATATTGTGATGAGCTGCAGAGTAAATACTACATGCACAATCAGCCATTAAAGTCTTAACTTGTTGGCAAAGTGGAACAAAACATCAATAGTTTAAAGTGCAATGTTGTTGTGTTTGTGTTCAGTGTATCAAGTCGTGGCTGAAGGGGCAGAGCACCTGTCCCACCTGCAGAAATCATTCATTACTGCCTGAGGATTTCCCCGTGCTGCCTGGCAGGAGACGCCAAGCCCCATGATGTCTTAACCCTCCCTCTCCCTCACCTTTACTTTCTACGTTAATGTTTTTATCTTTTTTTTCTTGTTCTTTCGGACCATAAAAATACTGATGTGTAAGGAATCACCAGTTTATATTCTGAAGAAATAAAACTGTCCTGTGTGTAAACTCCTTTCTTGCCTGTTCATTTCACATCTCAAACCTGGTGCTCAAAGTTCCGTTTTTGTGTGACACACTATAGTATGACATTTTTGTGAGGTTTTTGACAACATAGCATAGTAAGATGTTTTTGTGACGACATACACTGAACAAAACTATAAATGCAACACTTTTGTTTTTGCTCCCATTTTTCATGAGTTGAACTCAAAGATCTGAGACTTTTTCTACGTACACAAAGGGCCTATTTCTCTCAAGTATTCTTCACAAATTTGTCTAACTCTGTGTTAGTCAGCACTTCTCCTTTGCCAAGATAATGCATCCACCTCACAGCTGTGGCATATCAAGATGCTGGTTAGACAGCATGATTATTACACAGGTGTGCCCGAGGCTGGCCACAATAAAAGCCCACGCTAAAATAGGAACCAAAGTGTATGTCTTTGGTCAGTGTACTTAATTATGATATTTTTGACAACATACTATAGTAAGATGTTTTTGTGAGGTTTTTGACAACCTACTACAGAATGATGCTGTTGTGACATTTTTGACCACGTACTATATTACAGGGGCGGAGCTATGGGTGGGCCTGGATGTGCACAGGCCACCCATAGTGACAGATTGCCCACCCAGTAAGATTTATGGAAAAAAAAAAAAAAGAATATATATATTTTTAAATATAATTCAGTTTAAATGTTTTATTGTGTTTTCTATTTTCTTGAACATTTAGAATTTAATATAGCTTTCACAAAAAAAATATAAACAAACTTTGTCTTTCACACGATTAACTGACGTCTCGTGACAGTTAAGTTCAACAGGGACCTGAAGGCAGGTAACTATGGTACTGGAGCAGGTGGACACAGCTATGAACAATGGCTAAAAAATGATCATTGAGCCACTATTCTAAAAAATAAAAAATAAAAACACAGGAGAAAATTCGGAGCAGGTGCTCAAGGAGGTTGACCATCAAGAAGCGCTGATTGGCACAGGGAATGAGAGGAAAACGTCCTCATCGTCATGCCAGCTTTTGTGCTGATGAACTAGCTCCGACCCACAGACTGCCACAGCCATAAGCCACGTTCTGGCTCCGCCACTGCCCCGTTACATCTGGAATTCCTATCTGTTGTTAAATACTTAGGGATTGC